TGTGACGTAAGGCTGAGATTCAAAAGCCAGAAACTTTGGAGTTTTTTTAAAGACATTTCTTAATTTTTTTTATTACACAGATATTACAAGCATTAAAATTTGGAATGTTCAGGAGAGGGAAAGAAGGAGCAAGGGGAGAAGAGGGGGAGGTGGGGAGGAAGGAGGCAGGAGAGGAAATCGCCCCAAGGACCTGCCACGGCAAACCGCTCCGTTAACGGTTACATTTCACTCGCACTCTCGGACCACCCAGGGGCTGGGAGGGGCCTCGTGGCGTACCGAAGCCACACCCGGCCCGCTGGGCTCGCTTCCCACCCACAGGCTTTCGACGAGACCTTCTGGGGTTCGCTCGGGAGCCCGCGGCCTTGCTGGCACCTCACCCAGACCTGACTGCGTCCGTCTTGGCCGTAGAGACTGTTTTTAAAACAGATTCTGGAATCTTCTCCAGACGGAAAAAAGAATGAATTTAGTTAAACTGTGCTCCCAGCAGTTACAGTAAGAGTGATCAAATATAAACAGACCACCCAGGACTGGAATAGATCCTTTAAAAAAATATTTATTTTCAGAGAAAGGGGAAAGGAGAAAAGGAGGGAGAGAAACCACTGTGCGGTTGCCTCTGGTGCGCCCCCCACTGGGGACCTGGCCTGCACCTGAGGCATGTGCCCTGACTAGGAATCGAACCGGTGACCCTGTGGTTCAAAGGTCAGCACTCAGTCCACTGAGCACACCAGCCAGGGCGGGGTCAATCCTTTTGACTGAAATGAACACATCGGCTCCCTCCCACCCCCCAGAACCCCTCATTAAATGCCCCGTGAGCACTGACTTCACCCGAAGGCCCACAAACTGCTGCCCCGCCCCCGCAACCAGGATCGAGCTCTATCCAGATCTAAACCGCGCCCGCACGGCCAGGGGCGTGGAGGAACCCGTGGCGAGCGGACGCCCCGCAGCGGGACGTGGGACGCCAGCGGGGCCGGGCCCCGGGGAGAGGGCGGCTGCCCCCCCGGGTGCCCGAGCAGGCGCCGAGTCACCGTTTCACGACCGTTCGCACACGGGGTGGCTGGGCCGAGTGCGGGCACCACGGTGTGCCGAGTCGAGCGGCTTGCGCAAGTCGTGGGGGTCACGCGAGGAAGCCGCACGCACACACGCACACAGCCCGTCATTTCCTCCTCCTGCGTCCCCTCTGTGACTCCCACGCCCACGGGGTGTCTGGCCGCCTCTGTCTCGGACCCTGGTGACGTGGCCTTGTGCAAGCAGGCAAGCGGCCCCGGTGCTCTGTCCCCAAAGGCACTGGGAGAAATCCCGCCCCGAAGAGAGGCCGGAAAAGGAAAAGAACCTGTCCCCTCACCCTGCCCCTCCGTCCACGGGGCACCAACCACGGCCGCAAGAGACCAGGGCTTGCGGGAGCTTCGTGGCCCCGGGGCCAGCCCCTCAGCTGACTCCCACCCTTTCCTCGGGAAGAAGGAGGGGACGGCTGTGTCCCGGCCGTGTGCGCGGAAGCCGTTCTGAGGGGCCAAGAGCAGGGGGCTGCAGCCTGGGCCGGGGTGGCGGCATTGCCTGCTGCCACGAGACCACAGGCCTCTGAGCCCACGTGTGGCCATGACAGCTGGGAGCCCGTGCCTCCGTGTCAGGGGACACTGTCCCACCCGAGCCCCACGTAGGGCTGCCGCAGGGCCCCGGCCCACCTTCACTTTCCCTCCCTCCCTCCCTCACCTGCTGAGGGGCAGAGCTGACCCGCCCCTCTGGGGACAAAGCCAGGCATCGGTCAGCTTGGCCATGACTGTCCTGCACTCGTTGGGCCGGGGGAGCGGCCCTCTTCCATGGCGCGGTGGGGTGGTGTGTCGTCGCCGGGCACCGGCCTGCGCTCTCCGGGACCCCTACCCGTGGACAGCACCCTCCCGAGCCCCACCTGCTGACCACTTTTCCTCCGAAGTTCAGGCCGGGATGCAGAAGGGGGAGGGGAGGGTTCCCTCCCTGGCGTCCTCGTGGCTGGAGGCGGGCGTTCCTGCTGCATGCATTACGTCCTCCCGCTGCGACCTCCCGCTGCGACCTCCGACCTCCGTGAGACCTCCGACCCCTCTGAAAGGCCTCACAACGTGCCGTGAGGGGACAGAAAGGCGCCCTCCAGCGTGAGGGAGGGGAGTCTGGCAGAGGGCGAGCGGCAGGCCCGCGGCGCCGAGGGGAGACCCGGGCCTGGACGGCGGCAGCCGGGAGGGCGTGCTCCTTGGAAACCCAGGCGGCCGCTCTCCGCAGACACTGAGTTGGGGGTGGCGGGGGGGAACTTGGGGGCTTCTTTCTGTCAGCACCCCAGGCAGCTTCCAGGTCAGGCAAGTCCAGCAGCAGCGCTGGCCCTGGGGGAGCTACTGCAGAGCCCCCAGAGGCGGGGGGGGGGGTTCAAACTGCCGGCAGAGAGCGCCCTGGGGTGGCCAGAGGCCGAGATGCTCCCGACAGCCGCTGCCAGGCTGGAGCAGGATGGCCGGGCCACCCTCACGCCGACAGGGCTATGGGGGGCCACAGGGGCCTCCGCAGCGCCCTGCCCCCGCCATCACAGGGCAGACGGAGAACCGCGAGGCCTGGAGACTCAGGCGGCTGCCCTTTCCGGCTCCTGACACGGCGGGAGGCCCGGCTGCACTGCAGGGGGTCGCCATCACTCAGCCTTGGACTCGGGATCGGCTGGAGGGGCCGCCCGGCTCAGTGGCATGGCTGCTCTGGGTGGGACAGGGACAGGGACAGGGACGGCACGGACAGCAGGCGACTCGAGGCCGACGCCCCCGCAGGCCCCAGGAGTGGAGCGGCCAGAGGAGGCCTGGGGGGCGGGGCCGGGTGGGCCTGTGTGGGGCGTCCTCGGGGGGGGGGGATGGCCGCGTCCCTGGGCTCACGGGGAAGGGCCTGCGAAGGACGAGCCGCGGAGCACGGATGCGGTCCCGCCGGGAAGTCAGACGCGTTGTTTCCGAGGGACCAGGAACGCCCCCGCAGCGGGGCCGCGGCAGGGCCCCCGCGGACTCCAGAATCACCACGTGTGACTGCGGTCTGCAGACCCGTGGCCGACCCAATGGCGCGTAAGGAACCGGCAGTGACAGGGCTGTCGGGGCGACCTCCACGTGCACGTCCGACCCCCTTGGTGAGCGAGAACACCCGCGCATTTGGGAGGGACCGGCGGCTGACCTGACCGGGGGCCCTCGGGGGACCGGGCCGCCTCCTCAGAGCGCAGGGCCCAGGCGCGGCCCACGGCTCTGCTCGGGGACGGGGACGAGCCCCCAGCCTCAGCCTCCCGGGTCGGTCCCGCACGGCTCCCAAGCCCATGCCAGGCGTTTGCTGTCCCGGAGCTTCGTGGAATAGCTCGTTTTTTAACTGATGACCAGCAGGGCAGCTGCCAATTAAGCGGGTTCTTTGGGCGACTGCTTGCTCCGTCCCCTTCCTCTTCAAGTCCCCCCATCAGAACACCGTCTTAGAGTTTAGGCCCCAAACAGATGCCATTCCCCTGCGCCCCCGCCCCCAACCCACAGTGACATAAAAAAAGAGCGGAAGAAAAATGTCCTTTGTCCAAATTTGTGTTGAGCATGGGATTATAAAAGAAGTTGTAATTAGAAACAGAATTGTAACCACCCACCGTGGGTCTGTCCACAGGTAGCAGGTAGCGCACATCCAGGGTCCAAGGCTCCCTCCGCAGCAGCTGGCTTCCCCAGGTGCTGCTGCTCTCTGGGTGCGGTCAGCTCCCCGCGACCTCAGAGCCCTCAAGGGCGACACTCGCGCCCCGGGCGCCGCCGCTCCCCCGAAGGAAAGGGCTGCACCTGATGCAGCCGCGCACTCGGTCAACGACGACCAGGGGCCCACGGGGACACACGACTGAGCCCGTCTGCCCCAAGCTGCGGTCTGCGCAGCGCTGACCCCCCACGGTTCTCAGCCGACACTTTAACAATGCAACAGCTGTGACTGCATCCCGGGCAGGGACAGGAGGGCCCAGAACTCGAGGGGACAACGGAGAAAAGCTGCGTGTGTGCGGCCGGCGGCTGTGTCCCCACGGCCATGAGGGGGGGCCACAGAGGAAGGACGCCGCCCCCTGGAGGGCAGTCCCGCCCAAGTCCGCAGGCGCCTGCGCCTTTCCCATGCTCAGAAAACACGGACACTTGCATTATGTTCATCGGGCGGGTGGGGGGGGGGCAAGGGAAAAGCAAACGGGGGGGGGCATGGCCACCTGGTTCAGGGGGCTGCAGACCGCGGGCGGCGGACCCTCCCAACTCTCTGTGCGCAGGCCTCTGGCCGAGACTCCCGGCGCCCGCCCACGGCCCGCGGCGCCCCGGGCTCCGGGACGCCGCCCCCAGCTGGTCCCTCCCTGCCGGGCTGAGGACCCGCCTTCACACGCTCGGTCCTGCCTCCGTGAGCCTCCCTCCTCGGCAACCGTTTTAACAGTTCGATGCCCGGTCCGCCCGCGCACACGCAAGTGACGGCCCAGGGCGGGGACGCTCCGGGGACCAAACGTCCGCGCTGCCTGCGGGACTCGCTGCTTCTCACCCGAGCGCAGCCCCCTAGACCTGAGCGCCACCCTGGGAAGGTCCCTCCGAGCGCGCGCGCGGCTGCGCTCTCCCCGCCCCCTCGACGCACAGCAGGGCGCGCTGCTGCGGTCCGGTCCTCCGGGCCGGTGCGTGTTTTCCAGCAGGAGCGCGGTCCCGCGCCGCGTGCACCTCCGCCTCCGCGGCCACGCGGGGGGGCGCCAAGGCTGCGCGCTCACATGCACGTGAGGGCTGAGGCTCATGCTCGGACGATGCCTTGCGTCCTCCACGCCGCGCCCACGCAGCACCTGCTGCGTGAACCACCAGCGCGCGGTGGGCGCCGGCCGCAGCCGGCCTGGCTCCGAGGCTGCTGCGCACGCGCACCGGCCCGCTCTGCCGCGAGGACCGAAGAGCCGGGTCCTCGCTGTGCGGGGGTCGCTGTGCGGGGGGCGCCAGAACAACGTGCCGCAGCCTCCGAGGCCGACGCGCGCTCTTACACGAAACACGGAAACAGGAGCCGCTCCTTCAGGTGTGAGCTTTATTGTGTCACCTCGTCACACACACACCGGGACGCGCGTCGGCGGTGCGTCCTACGGGTCGGTTCACAGCACGAGACCGAAAGAGGCAGCGGAGGGGACGGGCGTCTCCGCGGAAACCACGCGCAGCGCGCGCGCGGGGACACAGGCCCGGCCTCCTTAGGTGCTCGGGAAAGTGCAAAGAAAAGGTTCGTTGCTACTCGGCAAGGAAAAAAGTGTTAAAGACTCGACGAGAAATCAGACTTGGGGCTCGAGCAGACACCCTCTCGGCAGGGAGCACGCGAGGAGCCCCACCGGGTGGTGAGACGCGGTCACCGCGCGGGACCGTGCACTGTGCGGGCGGCTCTGGGCGCGGGTGGAAGGGGCCGGCGGGGAGGGGGTCCCTCAGGGGAGGGGTCAACCCGGGAGGGGGCACAGTTGGGCGCGGAGCCTCCCCTGCCCCCCTCCGCCCACGGAGCGCGCACAGCCAGCCTGGGGCGGCCGGGAGGACTAGACGGGCTGGGGAAGACCTGCCCCCAGGCGGATGCGGCCAGGAGCGCCGGTGGGAACGGGAGATTTCCGAACCCGTCTGGAAGGAACGAAGGGGAGAGGAGGGGACCTGCTGGGGGAGCCCCACCCGCCGCGAGGCCCGGCCCGGGCGTCTGGCCGTCCCCAGCGCCCAGCAGCGACCCCACCAGGGCCGCACGGCCGGGCTGGGCTCCGAGTTTTCCACCACAAGTGGCCCTGAAGCACGAGAACGAGCAATTCCAGTCTCGGTCTTCCCTTTTACCCAGAACGTGGCTTCTCTTCACCACACGAGGAGTGGAACAACATTCGCTCTTGTCTGCAGAAGGATGCGAGGTCGTTAAGGCAGGTAAGACCCGCTGCCTCCCTGGGCCCTGAAGTGAGACACTGCCCCCCCGGGTCAGGGCCACGCGCAGCTGCGGGGCGGCCACGGCTGCTCCGGGGCACGGGCGGCGACTCTGCTCCACGGGACGCGCCGCCCCGGCAGTCACCCGGCGAGTTTCCCACGGATCCTAGCACTGACGGGGCCACGGACGCAGCTCGGAAAAGCACGGACGGGGCAGATGCAGAGCGTGAGCCCTCCCAGCAGCGGGAGGCGCGAGGTGCCCGCTGCAGGGGGAGGAGCGGAAGCTTCTCATCAGGGGAACAGGGGTTAGGAGGGCTGCGCCCCCACCCCCCGTATCCCCCCATGACCACCCATCACAGATAAAGTCTCCTGAACATCCTCTAACAGCAGACACAGTTAAGACTGTTTTGCCTTCTTCTTAAATACCCCTAGCGCTTGCCAACTGCCCACCGCTGTGGGACCCACTGGTCCTCACGGGCAGCGTGAGCAGCCGTCACAAACGAAAGTGCAGGGACAGATACAACGCACCCCGTCGGTGTCGGGCAGAAAGCAGCTAACCCTCCACGAAACCAGGCCGGATCCGCCACCTTCCAGGGGCCTCAGGAACTGGACACCCACACCCCCCTGCGACCGACAGAAGGCGGCTCGGCTCACCCCCCGGCTCGGCGGGGTCTCCAGGCTGCGGCAGCCGGGAGTCAGACCCGCAGGAAAGGCGACCTGCCCCGGGAAAGGGGGCTCGCTGGCAGCTGGAGCCGCGGCGGGACCCAGGCTGCTGTGCGTGTGAGCACACTTCACAGGAAGTCCGCAGGTCACACCCGAGAGCAGACCCAGAGGCAGCGGACCGTCGGCCCCTGGGAAGCTCGCACCCCAAGGGGCGTCCGCGTCTTCCGGGAACCACAAGGCACTTGCTCCAGTGAGACCGCCGCTCACCAACAGACTAGGCCTCGCGGTGACACACCTGCACCCCCCACCCCGCCCTAAAACACAGCCCCGGCCTGGCGAGACGGCCGGGATCCTGAGCACCCCTTCACCCAGAACCAAACTGCCCGGCTGCTGCCTGTCACCGCGGTGCTGATCTTCATTGAAGGACAGCACAGAACAGGAGGCGCGCTGCCCAGGGGGACCCAGGAGGTTCGGAGAGACAGGCCTCGCGTGTGTCGCGCAGCCCGACGTGCGGCCCGAGGGGAGGACAGGCGGGCTCGCGGCAGCGCCCCTCGCGAGGAACCCGCGTGGGGGAGGGGAGGAAACAACACAGCAACGCGGCCCTCAGAGCCGCCTCTGACTTCTGCAGGGACTGCTGCGCCCCGGCGGCCGGGTGCCAGAGAGCAGGCCGCCCGGGCTCGCGCACGGCCAGGCTCGGGCCCCTTCTGGAGCCACCGCGGCCCGCGGTCCCCCCGGAGGAGGACACAGGGGCGGAGCGGGGTTCTCCTCCTCCCTCCGGGCGAGTGCCGCCTCGAAACTGCCTCCCGCCAGCGCTGCAGCAGGGGAGGCGCTACCTGCCAACCTCCTCAAAGTCTCGACTCGACCCCCTCAGAGGTCTCCTGGCCACCAAAACGCCCCCAAAGAACCCGCCGGCAGGCCTGTCTGGCAGAAACACACCTCAACACCAGGGATACCAGAGAAAGGGGGGGGGGGGCACAGACACCGACTTAGGAAGAGAAAAACTACCTGAGATCCCACGTTCCCAAGGGGTGGGGCGGGGAGACCCGGCCCCCGGACTCCTCACCCGACGCCCCAGAATCCCTAGGGTTTCAGCAACGTCAAAGGGCCTGAGTCTCTGGGTACACATCTCACCCTAACAGAATCTGAAAGTTGCATCTTTGATAATATTCGGTTGAGGTTTAGAAAGATACTAAGACTGCACATCTGGTAATACGAGAAGAGGAAGGAGAAATCTACAAATGTCATCTTTGGTGGCAACAGGCTAAGGGTTAGGGATAAAATAATTTAAATCACAGGAGGCATCTTTTTCCAACTCTGTGGCTTTAATATAAAACATCCAACTCAGTAAGCGGCTGCTTAGGCTCATCGAGTGTTCCCTCCGCTCCCTGCGAGTCTGGTCAGCATCTCCCGCCACGGGGCCCTCCAGCGTGGGCGGCCACGTCCCAGTGTGAGCACAGGGCAGGACGGAGATGCGAAACGCTATCAGACCCAGCGCGGGGCGTGCGCGGCCCCCGCGCCGCCGTGCCCAGCAGCCCACCTGCAGCCCGCCCGGGACCCGGCTCCTGGAGGCAGCGGCGGGGGAATGAGAGGCCCGCGCGCTCGCCCACGACACACACGCCCATCAGGACCCCCGGTGGGACCTGCGCCCCGTCGCCCAGAGGCGGCCCCACACCCCCACGTCTGTCCCAGGAGGGCGCAGGCGTCAGCCGCACGGGGCGCACCCTCCCGAATGGGCATCTGCAGGCAGCCTGGCCCGCCCGCCGCCAGAAGGGCCCTGGAAGGGCACATACCGGGAGCTCGCGGGGGCATGCGCCTCTGGGGCCCAGGCCTGGGGCAACTCATGTGCTGGCCCCCGCACACCAAGCCCGGCTTCCCTGTGCACGCTGGAGGGGGCCTGAGCCACGGGCAGCTGGTGGTCCCCACATCGTCAAGCGGTCCCTGCGGGACCAGCAGGGCAGCGGGCCCCTCCCCTCCCCCGGGGGCCCCGTGTGGGCTCTCGGGGACCTCACAGCCCAGGCAGGAGGCTGCCAGCAGGGAAAGAGGTGAAAGCCGGCTCCCTCGGGAAAAAAACAAATAAATAGCAAGGAAAAACCCATACTCTGTATCCTATTTCGTGTACATATAATCAGTGCTTTATGAAGATTTCCTGAACTTTAACAACCCCCTGAGGTGGGAGGGAGCCCGTGACCAGCTGTGTGCAGGACCTCGCACCCAGCACCCTCTCTGCGGGGAGTGGGGGGGGCCTCTCCACCCGTCCCTCCTCGCTCCCCTGCGCAGCTGCACCGCCCGGAGCTGCCCTGCCTCCAGACCAGGCCGCGTGGGGCGTGGTCCCTCCGGCCCTGCCCTCAGCGGAGGAAGGGCCGGGCGGAGGGTGGGCGTGGGAGGGAGGGGAGCAGCAGGAGCAGGAGAGCCCTTGGTCACCCACTGTCTATCTCTGGGGGTTCTCCTCCCTCCACCGAACACCCCACTCTTCCTTCTCCAGACCACCTCCGTTTTCTGTCACAGCAGGCGAACTGCACCGTGGGAAAGCTAACGACAACCACAGCACACCCCGCGGAAAGGGGCTCCCAGAGGGTCTAGCTAGCGCAGGTGCAGGAAGGGCACAGGCACGGGACCCACCCGCTGGGTCACGCGAGTCCCGGCGGGGCCCGGTCTGGCCCCCCCGCCTGCGCCTCCCAGGCCGGAGCTGGCTCCTCCCCAGGTCCCGTCACACAGGTGGCCCCGGAGCGCCCGGCCCTCGCCCCGACAGGCGCGCACCGCAGGGACGAGGGGGCGGGGGCCACGCGGCTCACAGGACTCACACCTGCACCCGCAGGAAACCTGCACCCGCGGGAGCACACACCCCGGACAGCAAGCCACGCGACGCCAAGCACCTGCTTCCTGCCTTAAAAGCCTTAATGCGCGCACGTACACGCCGACGGGCTCACTGCGGCTGCTCTGCGGGGACGCTCGGCACGGGACTCCCCGGCGCGTCCGCAGAGCAGCGCGGGGCAGAGGGGGACACGGCGCACCCGGCGCCCGCGCGGACGTGGACGTGGACGACACGGGAGCCGCCCCCCCCCCCGGCTGCAGCCCAGCAGCCGCCCCTGCCTCACGAGCACCCGCACGACGGCAGTCCGAGCCACACACGGGGGAGCCCCCCCCCCCAGCGCACCACCCACAGCAAGGGGCCCCCTGGGACAGCAGCCGGGCCCCGTCCTGCCCGGCGCCTGCAGCTGCGCAGGTAACACAAATGTACAAAGAAGCCCCCCGCCCCGGGCGAGGGGAGCTGCTGGGGACCCACGAGACGGAGAGGAGCGCGGGGACGCGGCCCAGGGCGCCGCCGCTCAGAGCAGGGTCTGGTAGAGGTAGCCCCGCCGGTAGGCGCTCAGCGGGTAGAAGGTCGCCACCACGAACTTCCCGTCGAACATCCTGCCCGTCAGCAGCTTCTGGGCCGCCTTGGAGTCGCCGGCGTTCGCGTACTCGACGAAGACCTGGGAGGAGAGAGGACACAGTGACTGTCTCTGCCCGGCCGCCCGGGGACAGCGCTTCCACCCGAGACCCCGCGCGCCTCCCAGCCCTCCCCGCACCGGCGAGCTGAGCGCCGTGCCAGCCCGGGCCCCACCCCCGCCCCCGCAGGAGCCCCCGAGAGGCTGAGGGGGACTCCAGGCCCACGTGGACTTTCTGAGTTTGTACGTGGCACGGAGGGGAGGCCGCTTCTGCCTCATCCCCGCCACGGCCACTTCCAGCCTCCGCACTCCCGGCAGGGGGGCGGCCCTCTCGGCCACAGGGTCGGGGGCTCACACTAACAGCGCTTGTGAAGGGCCACCCTGTGTGTGCGGCCCCCCAGAGGCCCGTGACCTGCCTGCAGGCCGCCCCCCCCCCAGGTCGCACCGACCCCCCCGCCTGCAGCACTCTCAGCCCCGGCACCCCCTGCCTCCGGCGGCTGTCCCCTCCCCGCCCACCGCAAGGCCCCTCCAGCCCCTCCCTTCCCTCCCCAGCACGGTGTACCCAGTGCCCTTGTCCTTGACCCCGCCCTCTCCCCGCGCCTGGAGCACACAGCAGGGGCGCAGTGAGGGGCCGGGTGCCCTCCTGACCCCGACGGGAGAACAGGGTTGGCGCCAGACCGGCAGTCGCTGCCACTGCAGCTAGAGTGAAGCTTAGTTCCTTTTCGGTCTCCCCAAACCCCCATGACATGAGCCATAAGACAAAACGACGATCCGTAACTGGAGGGGGCTTCTCCCCGGGGGGCGGGGGGACGGCACCTGGCAGCCTCTGCAGGCCCCCTGGCCGTCAGCGCTGAGGGCGGGGAAGGGCACCGTCCTGGGGAGGCCTCGAGCCACCGAGCTGCCCGCAGCGCCCGGCCAGCCCAGCAGGGGGCGCCCGAGCACAGGGCCAGTGAGGCCCGCTCCGGGCTGCGCCCCCAGAACCCGAAACGCTGACCCCAGAAGGAAGGTTTCTCTGCCCCGAAGCCCAACCCCGAGCCACAGCTTCTGAAGGAACCCTCGACCCTGCTGCTGCCAGTGCGCGCGGCACAGGGAGGCTCCGGCGGCCGGCCCCCCGCCCTCCGCGGCCCCCGACCCGCCCTCGCTGGGGTGGAGCGGGCCCAGCTGCCACTGCAGCTGACCCCGACCCTCGCCAGGGCTCCGTCCCGCCGGCGCCACTGCCGACGGTGGCTGGACGGCAGGCGGGCACCTTGTAACAGACAGACGCTGGCGGACAGGACAGATGGACAGGCCAGATGCACACTTGGCACAGACCCCGGGAGAAGTGGGGACGCTGGCGGACGCCGCCTCCCTAAGGACACCGCCCGGTCCCAGCCGAGCACGCCCCTCCCCGCCCAGCCGTGCGCCACCCCCCGCGCCCCCCCCCACCGCCGGGGACGCCCGCTCACCTGCCCGCGGCCAGGGCTCTCCTTGGGGACCAGCAGGGACACCACGGGCCCGAACTTCTGGCACTCCTCGCGCACGTCCTCCACGGCGTCTGCGGGTGCGAGCACAGCCACCCTGACGGGGAGTCGCGGGACCCGGCCCTGCCGGCCGCCTCTCCCGGCACCTCTGAAGCGCAGCGCAAGCACGCGACAAGCCCACCGCTCTCCAGGGTTCCTTCTGGCGCAGCCCTCCGAGGGGCCGACACGACAGCCAGACACTCGAAATCCAAAGCCCAAGCAGCGCGGCACTGGGTCTCTGAGACCGCCCGCACCTCTCGGCCGTCCGGCGGCACTGCCCCCCGGGAACGGCGGGCGAGCCCCCGGCCCCCACAGCCGAGCCGCAGCAGCATCTCCGTGTCCTCTGCCGTCACCCACCCACAAGAGCGTGACGGGCGGGCCAGCAGGCCCCACCTCCCCCACGTTTCTAGGCTGCCTCCCGGAGACGGGGCTGCGGCCACGCGACCTGACCTGGGCGTCGTCAGCACGACCCACGAGCCCTTCGTAGACGCTCGCCGACGCCAGCCAGCCCGTGACGGGGGCTCGCGTGGCGGGTCGCAGGCTGCACAGCGCGGGGGCACTGGTGTCCCCACAGGCAAGGAGGAGACACCCGTGGGAGCAGCTCCGGGCACCCCTTCCGGGAAGGGCCTGGCCGTCCCCCACCCCCACCCCCGGCCGGCCTCTCTGGGGCCGGGACGGGTTTTCCAAGATGGTTTTGTGTCTCTTCAGCTTCTGTCAAGGTGCAACGTGTCGCATTACCATCTCACTGCTTCTGAGTTTTGTGGTAAACTTGGGAGAGGCCTTTCGGTGCTGGGAACATTATTTTTAAAAATCCCCCATGATTTTCTAAGTTAGATTTTTCCTTTACTCCCACCCGTCTCCCTCTCTCCGCCCGCCTTTCTCTCCTGTCCCTGCCTTGTCCCCCCCCACCCCCCGCTTCGTGGAGGGCTTGGCCGTTTGGACGGTACAGTCCCCGCCGGACTGAGAGCCCCCGCCGGACTGAGAGCGCACTTTGGTCTGAAGCAGAAGGCTGGAGTCCCACTTCCTTACCATCCCCGCCAAGGTCACAAGACAGCCAGCCAGCCATCCCCACACGGGACTCCTAACCAAGCAAGCTTACCCGATCTGAGATAACCTGACAATGACCTTCTAATCAGAACAGAGGTATTCGTGTGAGACACTTAATCACTAAGATTTAATATCTACGTCCAAACAACATCTAAACACTGTATTTAGGAGGAAAAAACAGCGTCACACAGCAAGACAGGGGGCGAGGTTCACCTGTGAGCGGCCTCCCTGTGAACGCCACCCCCGCCCCCACCCTGGCCCCGTGCCCCCACCCCCACTCCAGGCCCAGCCCGGGACCGAGGGGCTCAGAAGCAGCCCAGGCCCTCGCACCCATCCCCCCGCCTGCCACCCCGCCCCGAGGTTGGCGTCGACCCCACGCGCTGCCACAGAGGGGACAGGGCCAGGCCCGTGAACCCCGGGGGTGTAACTGGGTGTGACCCCAGCACCCTCTCCGCACGGGGGTGCACCTCGGGGGCGGGCCCAGCCTGCGAGGCGGGCGCGGGGCCCGGGGCCCGGGGCCCGGGGGCAGCACCGACCTTCGTAGCCCTCCTCGCTCTCCAGGTGGTCGCCGTCCAGCACGTTGAGCAGCCTCAGCACCGGGGTGGGGAGCATCACCAGGTCTTCGATGTGAGGGGCTGCGGGGCGGGCAGGACGGCGCGGTCAGGCGCGAGCCCCCCCGCCCCCCAGAGCTGGTCACGACGCACGTCCAGCTGCCCGGGGTCCGGGGACGCCAGGAGCCGCACTCACCGAACGGGACGCTGAAGAACGGGCTGCAGAGCGCGGCCTCGGCGGGCACTCGCCGGCGCGGGTCGTCATGGAGCATGCTGTGGCACAGACAGGGCCCGGCGTCACCGTCCCGGGAAGCAGCGCGCGTGTTCGCCGAGGCACGGGCTGCGTCGGCGCGGCCTGCCGACTGCTTGCCCATGGGACGCCCTCTAGAGACACGCCACAACCCACATCCCGGACGTGACGACGGCGAGACCAAACGCCCACGGGCGGCGTCTGCAGAACCAGGTAACCGTGACAACCGCCAAAACACGAGGCGAGGGACAGCCGCCCCCAGCAGACACCCGGGAGGGCCTGGCAGCGCCACCTCCCGAGACCACCAGCCCCAGACCACCAAGACTGAGAGGTGTTCCGGGACCATCTCGGGATTTCTATGGAAAGATAAAATCCTTTGGCCGTCTAGAAAAAAAGGCCAAATGACTCTTGATATAAAGCAAATATTTTGAAACTTCTTCATCTTGTGGCAGCATAAACTGCCGAAATTTTGCAGCACACCCAAAAACTTTATTTTTGGCTGATCTGACAAAAAAAAAATAAGTATAACTTAGCTTCATTCTCAGTGGACGGCCATGGCTGTGCTGGCCGCTGTCATTTCCATCCGACAGTTTTAGCCAGCAAGTGCCCCTGACTGAGTGGCCGGGTGCCCCGCTGTGGAAGCCCCGGCGGCCCCCGGGCAGAGGACGGGACGGGCAGTCCCCCCGACCTTCCTGTGGCGGCAGCAGCGTGTCCCAGACGCTCAGGGACGGGCGGGGTGAGCGAGAGCCAGACACCGCCGCTCGGGGACCCAGCGGGGAGAGACCACGCGGAGCCCGTCCTGGCCGTGCACGGCCTCTTCTCGGTGCGAAATGCCCCACAAGGCACCCAGTCCAGACACCGACAGCGGTTTGTTCACTCCGTCACACACAAGCATGGCGGGGGGCGGGAGGCAGCGCCACACACGCACTGTCGCCTGCAGGGGAGACCCCCCACCGCAGCTGCGGAGAGGCCCCGCTGCGGGGGGCTGGCTGCAGGACCGGCCTCTCGGCTGCCCTTCCCCGAGTTCCCGCGAACCCACAATCACTGCACACAAAAAGCAACCGGGAGATGTGCAGGGTCAGAAGCAGAAGCGTCTGTTCGGTGTGAGCTGGGGGGGGGGCAAAGGGCGTGGCCGCGTACCTTTTAATGAGGTCCCGGAGGTGGTAGGCTGGGATGGCGGCGTTCACCACCGCCTTACTGGCAAACATGTGGTCGATGATGGCGGAGCTGTTGGCCTGGAGAGGGGGAGAAGTCGTCCTTTGGTGGTTCAAGTTCAGCCACTGCTTCCCGAGGGCCAGGCCCGGGTGCCCTGCGAAACCCCCAGAAACCCCACCTCCCCCGCCCCGCACTCTGGAGGGAGGGACCGTGCCCGGAGTCATGTGGGGGTCCTCGGTCCTCAGCGCCGCCGGCCCCGCACGGGCGTGCACCAGGTGCATGACTGGAGACACCACGGCGCTGGAGCGGCCCCGGGGAGAACGGAGCTCAGTGTGCGTGCGGAGGGGAGGACGAGCGCTCCGCTCGGGGCACGAGGGAGCACGTGGCGTCACGTCACTCCCTCTCAGCCCTGCGCGTGCGACGCCGCGCCCCAAGTGTGCGGAGGCGTGCACAGGAGCAGGCTCACTGAAACGCACCGGACACGTGCCACCGGCACCCCACGCTGAGTGCCGGGCGCTTCCTTTCCGCCCCCGACACCGTGACAGGGTCGCACGCTGCCGTCCCCTTCGTCATGCAGACGGCGGCCAGGCCTCGGGCCTCCACACGACGAGCCCCGCGGAGAAGGTGACTCCACGTGCAACTGCAACGTCTCCGCCTGGGGGCGGGACACTGGGCGCCCGCAGTGCACACTCTCCGCGTCTCCCCACACAGGGTCCGCCCACCACCCAGTTCTGTTCGCTCGGCTGAGCGACGCCGTCCCGGGGGCTCAGGCGGTCAGGGCCCACCCACGGGGGCACCAGAGACTGGCACCGGTCTGACTGTCGGGGGCGCCGGGGACAAAAAAGGACACTGATCCCCTCGCTCGGCCGTGCTTCCGTGCCAAAGGTGAGTGCCCGGCACGCGCACCAGGCCACGGCAGCGCTCCGCCTGGGCCCTGACAGCCACACTCCGTGCCTCAGGCGTCACCGCCACAACCAGGGACGCCTCTGCGCTGTGCCCTCGACTCTCCAGCCTGGAGCCGGCCGAGGCCACCGCCGCGCTCGCGCCCCAGGGAGTGTTCTCGGAGAGGGGGCGCAGGCCGCACTGCGCAGGGACAGGCGGGAAGCTCCCTGCTGCGCCCGGGCTGGGAGCTCAGGGCCCGAGCTGCCAGAGCAGCCGCTGCACCGGGAGAAGGCGCAATGCGCCACCACGAGGGCGGCATGCAGCGCTGCGGGCAGCGCCCGAGGCAGGAGGCAGGGGCAGCCGTGTGGCCCCCGCAGAGCCTGCGGCTCCCCTGGACAGAGTGGCCTGCGCCCTCGCTCGCTGTCCCCACCGGACCACCGGGAGAACTCAGTGAGTCTGTGCGTGAAAACGCATCGACGGGACGCAGAAACTGTGCGCGTGACACAGAGAGCACCGCTCACCCCGCAACGCACCGCTGCACTGCCAGTGTTTCAGGGAGTGGCACAACTGCACTACAAGATGAAAGACACCGCTTCTGCTTCTTGGGGAAAAGGCCCGGGTCCCCGCTCCGGCCCTGGCCCAGGAGCAGGGAGGGTCGCTGAGCGGCGCGGCTGCGGCCTGGGTGGGAGGGGCCGCCGCCGCAGGGGGCACGAGGCAGAGCACTCACGAGACTCATGAGCTGGGGCCCCGGGCGCTGGGACCGGGGACCCCGGGGGGAGCGCCGGCGCCGTTACCTTCCACTCCTGAGACCTGACCGTGTGCTTCAGCTTTGTCCCCGAGAACATCTCCAGCAGGATGACCCCGAGGCTCCACAGGTCCACAGCCGAAGTGCACTCCGTGTCGCTCTGCAGGCCGGCCTGGGCCAGGCAGTTCTGCAGCTCTGCCTCCGGGGCCCGGTACCCGTCCGTCTGGATGTACTTCACGTCCTGAGCAGACGAGTGGATACCGCGCCCAGTGAAACACCGCCCGCTGTCCGTCCACCCACCCACCCACCTCGGCGCTGCCTCTACTGCCAACTGGACGCCGGGGCCGCCCCTCGCTTCCACAACCTCACGCCTGCAAGGGACCGCTGGTGATCAAGGACACTGGGCAAAGCCCTGACGAACCAAGACAAGGGGGGTGCGGTGCCGGACCCACCACCCGTGGAGTCCCCAGCAGTGCGGGCGCCAGTCATGCAGCAAAAACAAGAGAGCACCCCGCAGGGCAGTCGCCCCCGACAGTGTCAGGCCCCTTCGCATGTCACTGGTCACCCGCCCCGACCAGACACACGCTGGCGATGAGCTGCTTCCGCCTGCCTCGCCCCCAGGAGCTCAGAACCACAGCCACACGCAGGTCTGAAGCCCCCGCGGAAGCGCCTCTGCTCTTCGCAACACCCGCCTCGGACCCCGGAGTGGGCGGGAGCCTTTCTCACCTGATTGCCTTCTTTGAAGCTCAGGCCAAAGTCAATGAGCTTGAAACACTCGCTCTCCGCGCTCCAGAGGATGTTCCGCGGCTTGAGATCGGCGTGGACGTAGCCCTCGCGGTGGAGGAAGGCGAGGGCCTCCAGCACGTCCCGAGCGCAGTGCTGGATGGCCCACAGGGAGCAGCCCTGGGGGCTGGCGCACAGCAGCAGCTCCGACACGCTGACGTCCAGCAGCTCCAGCAGCAGGCAGCGGGACGGCACGTTCGGGGAGAAGTGGATGGTGAACACCCCGTACAGGGTCACTGGGGAGAGAGACGGGCGGCGCCGCTTCAGGAGTCAGGCCGGGCGAGGGAGCCACCACGGAAGCAGGTGACCGCAGGGCGCGAGCCCGGGACAGACTACAGAAGAGCAGCTCTGATGGGCAAGGAAGCCCCTGCGGCAACTTACTTTTCCACGAGGGAGATTTCTGGGCCACTGGCTCATTTCAACAACATAAAACGAGTCGGCCTTCAGCCGCTGGCGACTGTTCACAGATACCACATGAGGCACAGTAATTCAGGCTGCGTTCCACCACGCGCTCGCGGTGGGTGCATATGCACTGAGGGTGCCCGGCAAGGTTGAGCACAAGTGAAAATTAAAAAACAAAAACAAAATACCCAGCCCTGGACAAGTGCTCAGTGGGTCAGAGCATCATCTGATGCTCCAGGGCTGCAGGTTCCACCCCCGGTCGGGGCACTCGCAGGAGTCGACCAACGAGGCATCAGTAAGTGGGGCAATAAGTCAATGTTTCTCTCTCTCTCCCTTCCTCTGACATCAATAAACAAATTTAAGGTAAGGACCAAATATTACATACTACCCAAGGTGAATGTCACGATGGGGACAAACAGAATTTGAAGGTTGGTTCCTCAACCTTAAAAGAAGGGAGTGTGCCTTGGGAAGACACGTCTAGTCTTTCAGAGACTCAACAAGACCTGCAAAACGGCCAAGACTTCCCCCGGAAAGGCCACGGCTACGTACAAAACGCGGCAAGCTGAGAACCAACAGACGAGAAAACGCCCCGGTGGCCAGTGCTCCCGAGCGGTAAGATGCCGGAGGCCCATCTTCCATGACGCCGCCCGGGCTGCGAGCAGGGATTAGGCAGAGCCCGAAAGGGGGTCTGCGGGGCGGCGGGGAACGGGGCCGCTGTGGTGGGCCCCTCACCCGCGACCAGCTCAGACCTCCCAGTCTGGGCGTCGGCGCCAGAACCCTGAGCGCACGGGGCGTGCGGCCGCCGCACTTCCACGAGGGCCCCCGTGAACCACTGAGTCATGTCTCGCCAGGCCAGGCTACCTGCGGATCCAGGCCGCGTCCACCGGCGTCGCCAGCGGGGCAGAGGGGTCCGTCTCCCGCTGCCTTGCAGAGGCTAAAAATTCCCACGCGGGACCGGACGACGCAGCAAAGGCACGCCCGCTGTCCCGGGGCCGGGCACCTGCGCTCCCCGCCCGCGCCCGCCCGCCCCCGCACGCCGGGCCGCGCGGCGCGGCGGCCCGCCGCCCTCACCGATGTTGCGGTGGCCCTGCAGCTGCTCCAGCGCCGCGCGCTCCTTGCGGAAGCCGTACTCGGCGGCCGAGGCGGCGGCCCCGGAGGCGCCGGGCGGCAGGAACTGCTTGAGCGCGCCGGGGGGCGAGCCGGGGGTGCCGCAGCAGCGCACCCGGTACACCGACGCCGACGACCCGCTGCCCAGGCGGCTCTGCACCTGCCACAGCCGCCCGAAGGCCTCCAGGAAGCGCGGCGGCTCGGCGCCCCACGCGCACCCGGACCCCGCCATCCGCGCGGACTGAGGGCGGCGCGGCGCTGACGCGAAGCCCGGCAGCCGGCCGCGCCCGCGGGTCACATCGCAGCCACCGGCCGCTCCGCAGGGAGAGGCCCACCGCGCGTCGCCACCGCCGCCGCCACCGCCGGGCTCAGGCCGCCATGACGCCGGAAGCCGCACGCCCCGCCGGAAGCCGGAAGCCAAAAGCCGGAAGCGGACCCAGAGCCGGTCCTGCGCCGGAAGGAGGCGGGAGCCCGGGTGGGCGTGGCTCCAGGGAAGGAGGCGGAGCTTCCGAGCGTCTGAACGTCCGAGGCTGTCTAAGCAGGTGGTCCTGGGACTAGGGCAGCCTCTCCCGTCGGCGAGACCGGCGAGCCCCCCACACCTGCTCCGAGCGCCGCGGGCGCTACCTGTCCCCAGCCACCGCGGACAGGCCGCGTCTCCGCGCCCCGCCTCTCGCGCAGACCTGCACACCCCCCTGCTCTGCCTGCTCCTGCCCCTTAGCCTGCCGCCCAGTGCGGTCGCTGCAGCCCTCCGTGCACCTGCTCTGCCTCCAGCGTGCGCCGTGAGCTGCAGCGCCGCCCCTCTCCGGAGGAGTGCCCTCCATCCCTTCGGGGCTGGCTGCCGGCCCGTCCTCGGCGTGCCGGGGAGCGCGGCGCGGACTCCCGCCAGGCTGAGTGCCCGCCTGCTCCGCCACGTTAGCCGTTAGGCGAGGCGCCCTGGCGGCTCCCGGGCCTCCGGCCCCAGGCGAGAGTGGGGGGCGCGGGCAGGAAGAGGCAGCTGGCCCGTGGTGACTGTGGACAGGAAGTGCTACCTGATGCACAGCCCGATAGGGCTTGCAAAGGACACCAGCGTGCGAACGCTGCTGGGTCCAGGGACTTCCTGTGCATCCGAGGCGGGAGCGGGGTCCGCCGGGAGCCAGGGGAGTCAAAGTGGGGTCGCATCTGGGCTGCGAGGGGTCCATGTGCGGTGGGATGCACGGGGCTTTGTGCAGGCCCAAGGCCCTTAGGAGGTGTGTGGAAGTCTCTAGATTCTGGAGAAAAGGGCCTACATTTTATATGAGTTCACTGTAGAAAAGTTAAACAAAATACAAAGGCAGACAAAGAAAGCAGAAACTCTCTAACGGCCCTCGCTAGTATGTTGGTAAAATTCTTTCTAGACTTCTCTCTGAGCATTTACATGCCCATAGGAGCATTGCACGCTCCCACACACAAGCACACACTTGTGCATAGATCAAGTCATCTGACTCGCTGGTCTGCAGCCTTTCCCAACTCAAAATACACCCCAGCCCCTTCCCACACCCGCAAAAGCGGGTGTTCACAAGCCCCGGCCTTCGGTACGAAGCACCAGTCCGCCGGTGTGCCTGTGCCGCACCATCACCGCCCGGCTGCCTCTCCCACGGCCACTTCTGCCCGTCAAGCCACAGAGAGTCCAGCGACATCGGTGTGCCACTGGTGAGCACGCTCAGCGAATGGTGCTCAGCCGCCGGAGAAGACGGACGAGGCTGTGCTGAGACCCCAGCAACGAGCGGGAGACCCACACCGCCTGCCCCGCGTGGCTTTTCGTGGGGAGCCTGACCGGGGGGCTGTGGCGACCCTGGGTGCTCTGCCACCTCCGCCCCTCTGCCCAGGCTCCGTGGGCCTCTCGCTCCTGTGGCCTGTCACTCCTATCGGCCCCGTGCGCCCTTGGACCTGACAACAGAATTTTGCCCGGAAGGCCAGATTTACTTGACATCTTTAGTAGGAGACAGAAAACCGAGCTCCGGCTGTCTTGTGCCAGAGGGAACTGTATTCAAACGACAAGAGGCCCCAAGGCAAGGCCGCAGGAAGGAGTCAGGAAGGTGAAACCCGAGGGGAACCTAGGGAGGAAGTTCTCGCGTCCTCGCAGCTGTGTGGGGCTGCGCGCCAGTGAGGCTCGTCACCGGGTGAGCGTGCGGCGCGTGGCACACGGAGCTGCGGAGAGGTGGCCCGGGTCTCGTTAGCGCCGTCCTCTGGCTGAGACACAAGCAAAAAGGAGAAGCTGTTTTCCTGCTGTGAGAACTCCGAGGCTCGACTCTGAACTCGCCTGCACCACTCAGCAGTGTCCTGTGCGGCCACCACGCTGGACACTTACCCCTTTACAACTGAACATCTGTAGCTTCTGAGCCCCTCCTTCCCATTCCCTCCCCCGCCATCACTCCACCTCTGGGGACCACAGGTCCGATCTCTTTGTCTATGAGTGACATGTTTTTGTTTCTTTTCTTTTTTTAAAGTTTTTATTTATTTATTTTTACAGAGGGTAGGGAGAGAGGGAGAGAAACATCCATGTGTAGTTGCCTCTCACACGCCCCCTACTGAGGACCTGGCCCACAAGCCAGGCGTGTGTCCTGACCAGGAATCGAACTGGCGACCCTTTGTTTCACAGGCCGGTGCTCAATTCACTGAGCCACAGCAGCCAGGGCTTGTTTCTTTCTAAATCTCCACGTAAGGGAGGTCATGCGGTACTTGTCTTTCTCTACCCGACTTAGCGTGTCACTTAAAACAATGCCCTCAAGGTCCGTGTCATCACAAACAGCAGGGTTTCCTTCTCGTTAAGGCTGAGTGATGGTCCGTTTGGTAACCGTACCGCCTCTTCCTCCGCCGTCGCTGGGCACCCAGGTGGCTCCCGCGGCTTTGGCTGCCACGAATAACGCCACGGTGGACATGGCGGAGCTGACGCCTTCCAGAGTTAGTATTTTTTATTTCCTCCAAACACACCCCTGCAGAAGCAAAATTGCTAGATGCTGTGGTAGATCTATTTTAAAGTATTTTTATGTCCAGACGGGTTTTCACAGCGGCCACATGGGCTCACTTTCCCATGAACGATAGGCAAGAGTTCCCTTTTTCCAACTTCCTCCCCGAAACTCACTTCTGGCCTCTTTGGTAATGACCGTCCTGCTGAGGGTGAGGCAACACCTCACCGCAGTTTCGATGTGCAAAACCGATGATTAGTGAGCCTGAGCGTCTTCTCACGGAGCCGTCGGCGGTCCACGTGTCCTCTTTGGGAGAATGTGTGTTCAGATCCCTGGTCCATTTTTTAGCGGCATTGTCTGCTGCTTTTTGCTGCCGAGTTGTGTGCGTCTTTCTGTGTGTGGAAGTGGGTCTCTTTGTTATCGGATACGTGGTTTGCAGACAGTTTCTCCCCCTCCGTGGGCCGCGCTGGCAGGGCTCTGGCGAGTGGGGCTCCTCTCCATGAGTCAGCTTCCTTCTTCATCTTGACCAAGTTCTCTCTCTTCGCCTGGCTGCTGGGAGCGCCATGCCCACCAGCTCACAGGCCCCAAAACACCCTGTCACACGGCCATTCCTGGAGGAGCCTTTTCCATTGTCTCCCCACCCCTCCCAGCCCCCGGTGCCTCTCTCCCCTGTATTCGGTTTCCTCAGACTCCTCGGCAAGGGCTCCTGATGGGCCCGTCTTTGGTCCCGTCCGTGGTGGCTGCAGACGTGACCCTTGGCTTGGATTTCCGCAGACGAGAGAACGGGGGCCCGGCAGGGGAGGAACGCCGCTTGTGTGTGCCGTGCAATCAGCATGGCGTCCGAGTGGAGGTGTTTTCATCGTGAAAAACCTTAAACACACCCCAAGATGGACAGTAGCATAACAGACCCCACACACCATCACCCGGCGATGGGTGCGTACCCACGTATGCACGATGCCATCATGGCCCCTGGCGAAATCAGCAGGAATTCCTTGGTGTCATCCAGTACGCAGTCAATGTTTAGATTTCCCCTATGGCAGGACATTTTTTTAAAGATTTTATTTATTTATATTTTAGAGAGGGAAGGAAGGGAGACAGAGAGAGAGAGAAAAACATCACTGTGCGGTTGCTGGGGGCCGTGGCCTGCAACCCAGGCACGTGCCCTGACTGGGAATCGAACCTGCGATGCTTTGGTTCGCAGCCCACGCTCCGTCCACTGAGCTACGCCAGCCAGGACAGGAAATTTTTTGTACTCACTTCTTTTAAAAAACCAGGATCCAAACCAGACCCTCATGCTGTGCTGGCTTTGTGCCTCACAGGCATCTTTGCACCGGGAGCGGCCCGCCCCCCAGCATCTGACCTGGTGGGCGTGGCTCGGGCCTGTGGAGGGACCTCGGTCACTGCCCCGTGGAATGCCCCACACGGCGGGACTGTCTGCCTGCCTGCTCCCTCAGGACGGCCGCACAGGGAGAGGCCGGTTATGCCCATTCACCGGGGGGGGGGGGGCGGGGGCGCCCGTGTCTGAGCAGCGGCTCCGCGGAGGCCTGCGTGCCCCTGCTGCCGGCTGGGGGGCCGCCAACGTGTGACAGCCCCGCCCGAGACCCGCGGAGCCCGAGGTCGGCAGGTGCAGGTGGTGACGGCCTGGCCTCCCTTTGTCAAGGTCACTCTCAGACATGTGTCTGAAGTTTCCGCCCACTGACTACGTCCCCCGGATTCCTTACTCCGCCGGGCGTCGGGAAGCGGAAACGAGCTGGTCCTGTCTCGGGTAAAGGCGTGCGCCGCTTCGCCAGGGGTGCCAGACTCCCCCTGCGGCGGGAGGAGCCGTCTCATGCTCCGACCGACGGTGCCCGCGGTGTGACTCTGTTCCACCCCGGCAGGGCCAGCCCAGGCCACACTCACACTCGATTTTCGCCCGAGTGACGGGACAGAGATGTTACCGCAGCGTGGACTCAACCTGCACCGTCTGATGCTGAGTGGGGAGGAGGGGGCTGGGCCTGAGGAGGGGATGTGGTTGACAGAGAGGCAAGAAAGCTCCTGTGGGGACAGAGATGAACCGGCGCCAGAGACTGCCGCCTCTCTCAGGAAACAGCCGCGGTTTGGCACTCTGGCCGTCAAACTCTCTCGCCGTCCAACGGTCTCTCCGTGCTGGCCACAGCTCCCCAGAAACGGCACAGGAGGTGGCCACGGCTGCTCGCACAGCCGGGATGGGAGAGCAGATCTCTCTTGATCAGCGTCGTTGAGCTGCAGTTCCTGACACCGACCCCGGGGGCGGGGGGCGGGGGGCACCAGCCAGCCACAGTGCCCAGTGGGGAGGTCCAAGGTCAGGCTGGCCTCTCAGGCCGTGGAAAATCATCCTCCCAGTTAAGAAGGCGTTAGGAGCACGTGGTCCTGTTGGCATACGTTCCTACCTGAGATACACAGCAAATCCTACAGATGTTTGAGTAAGGCGGCTGAAAGGGGCGGGGGGCGTACATACATGTATACCAACTGACTGACGTCGCATTTAGACATGTTTCCATGTCTGGTGTCTCTGAAATTAGTAGTTCACTGATTAATACTAACAGGGAGGATGAGCTGGTTGCTCAAAAGGCCATGGAGGAGCTGGGCAGATGTTGTGCACAGCGAAACAAGGTCTGATTACATTATAAGACGAGTGAGCACGAGTGCGGAGTCGTGACTACAGTTACTAACCCCCTGTCGCACACAGGAACAGTAGATCTTAAATGCTCTCACGACAAAAGAGACATGGTAATTATGTGGCCAGGTTGGAGGTGCTGACTAATGCTATGGGGGTGACTGTTTTTGCAACATAGAAATGTAACAAAGCATCACACTGTAAACCTTGAACTTACGCACTGTTACATGTCAATTGTGTTTCCATTGTATCTACCCTGGGGCTGACTCTGAGCCTCAGAGGAGAGGAGCCGCGCCTCCCAGGGTACCGCGCACCCCCGGGCACCGGGGAAAACAGAGGGCACCTTTCCGCCCGCACCAGCTCGTCTAAGCTGGGCCAGTGCCTCTGGCCGGACGCACGGTTCTTGGTCCTCTTCACGGGGAGGCACTGCTTCCGTCTCCGAGGCAGGAACCTGAAACCAGGCCTGACCACCCCTTTTCTTCTCCCTGAAAAGCCATCCCTGCGCTAACCTGCACGCCCAGGTGCCCCTCCACCTGCACCTGCTGCTTCCCCCAAAGCGCGACGCTGGGGATGGCCTTGGTCACTCGAGGCCAGAGCCTTGTCCAGGGGACAGGCTGCCTCCACCACGGAGTCCGGCAGCTTCCTGTTCCCTTTGACCCACGGAAGTCTCCCCCCTCTCGACCATTCATTGTGGGCTCCCGCAGCATCTCAGCTCGGTCTGAGCGCCCGTCCTGAGCTCTGCACGGGCGGTCAGAGGCAGCCCCCACCCCCGCAGGAGGCGGGCACCGTCACCCGCGCAGGGTGACGCTGCTCTCCCTGCGGTGGGCCCTCGGGCACGGGCCGGCCCGTGCCCCGGTCCCAGGGAGCCGACTCCAGCACCGCGGCCCCCGCGGAGCGCCGCGGCCACAGGCCCTCAGACGGACTTCACACCCGTGAATCACATCGGGGCCGGCCCTCTTTCGGCGGCGTCACTCGCCACCTCCTTCCTTCCCACTTCCTGAAACTCTCAACACTGACCGCGTCCAGAGAACGGTCTCAGCCGCCGCCGGAGGAGGAAGCTGCGCTGGACGTGTGTGGGTCTCGGGGGTGAGGGCCCCATGGAGCTGCCCTACTACCACGGGCCCCTGTCCAAGAAGGACTGCGAGGGCCTGCTGCTCGCGCGGCGCGCGGACGGCAACTTCCTGCTGCGGGACAGCGAGTCCGTGCCGGGCGTCCTGTGCCTCTGCGTCTCGTGAGTAGCCTCCCCGGCCCCGCGTCCGGCCCCACGGGGCGGCTGTCCGGACGGCCGCCACACGGAGCAGAGCTGGGGCTTTGCGCTGCCTCGGCAGCCCCAGCGCGCAGGGCGAGCGGGGCCCCGCCGGGGACCGCCGACCGGGGGGCCCTTTTCTGCCTGTTTCCTCCTGCGGACACTGAGGTCAGGGCCCCGCGGGCAATCTCCCCCTGCGCGGCCGGCCGGGCCCGTGCTCGCTGCACTGACGGCCCTTCACACGCCGGCGCCGTGTCCCGTGTCCCGTGTCCCGTGTGCGGCCCACAGGGGTGCAGGCCCTGCAGGCGGCCTCCCCCGCGGCCCGCTGCGGCCGGCCGCCACACGCCCCCTCGGGGTGAGGACACGGCGCCAGGGCCTCTCCGACCGTGGTCCTGCTGCCGTCTGCCTGGCCTCCCCCGCAAGGGTCTGGTGTCATTCTGAAACTCCGGGTTTGACGACGCCCCGGCCGGAGCCGCCAGGGCGCCTGTGAGGGGCCTGGTTCGGCCGTTGAGACAGGAGCCCGCAGAGCTCTCGGCGGGCGCCTGGTGTCTCCAGGGGTCTCCTGGGGGAGACCGCTGGACCCCTTCCCTCCTGCTCGCCGCAGGACCGGAAGCCCCGTGTGTCCCTGGGGGGGGGGTGTCAGGGAGCCGTGGGGCGAGAGTGACCGTCACCGGCCACGGCTCCGTGCTCTCCGCGGGGCTGGGACGCGGGGCCTGAGGGAGCCGCAGCAACATGTCGGCGGCTGGACGTTCCAGACCCCGAGCACAGCTGAGACGGTTTCGTGGGTCTTTCAGCCACGAGTCATTCCTCTTCCCGGAGCGGCACAGACAGGCCTCCGTCTGTCCCAGCTCCGTCTGTCTGTCTGTCTTCTTACTGATGTGCTTCAGGTTCTATGTAGGAAGGCGAACACTTCTTCCAACACACGCATGTGCGCGCGCACGCACACACACACACACACACACACACAGATAACTACAGACCAATTTTAATTTCTTTTAGTATCAGTTTTCTGTAATCTGCTCACCAAATAGAAACCATCAGCGTAAAATACACTGTGTTCACGTAGGGCTCCTGTGTCTAGAAAGTTACGAGCTCAACCACATGTTCACAGGGCAAGGATTGCAAACCGCGTAGCTCACTCCAGTTTACTTAAAACGTATTAGGTAAAACGTATCATTGCGATTTACTAAAACCCCTCAGTCTGACACACCCAGCGGCGCACCTGTGCTCACACACCCCTCGCAGGCGGGAACGCGCTCCTGACCGCACCCAGCCAGGTCGGGGCACCCAGGGCCGGGCGCAGCTCCAGAGGCGCCCGGGACAGAGGCTGGCACTCACATCACACTTCTGGGTCTCGCGTGGTCAGGGGAAGTGTGAAAACATGGACGAGAAAGAGGCAAAGTTATCATCGGCCGCCGAAACGGTTTTGCACCTGCGAAACCTAGCATTTAACTGAAAAAAAAAAACCAAAACAAAACAAAACAAAAAAAAACAGGTACTAAGATCTTAAAGGAAAGTCAGCAAGGATATCTATCGCCTTTCTAAGCAAGACACAGAGCCCAGAAAGCAAAAAAGGAAAGACAGCTAAATGTGATCGTTGTAAAATTAAAAAAAGAAAACCTGACGTTAAAGCGACTTTAAAAAAATAAACAGGAAAACGTAATCTCCGCAAACAGGGAAGAGCCTTAAAACAGCAGAAAACGACGGGAGGACGACAGGGTGCGGAGGGCGTCCGATGAAACAGAAACGCGAAGACCCAGGAAAGCCGGGTCCCGCAGGCGGCTGGCGAGGCTCAGGGAGAAGAAACGCCAGAGGCCCCCCCCCCCCCCGCCCCGCGGCGGCCGGCCCCGGGCTCCGAGGAGGCCCGGAGGAAGCCAAGCGCCCGGACCTCGGCCCCAAACCTCGCCGACCAATGTGGGTCTCGCAGAGGCCGTCCCGTCCGCCGTAGCACAACGCTGCACCCCCAAAAGGATTTCTCTTCGTGGGTGGGGGAGAGGGGTTGCCGTCGGCCCATCCGACAGGGAGGCGTCTGCCCGGGGAGGACAGACGGCCCTTCTCCGAGGGGAAGGGACACTCCAGGCGGCACAGCCACACAGCTCGGTGGGACGCAGAGGCCCCCAGGGCCCCCCCCCGGCCCCTCGCCCCCGGCTCCTCCCAGGCTCGGGCCCGGGCCCCCCACCCCAGCGACACTGGCGCTGCTGGAATTCGCGCGAACACGACCGAGAAGATGCGGCCACGGGCCCGGAAACCTGCCGGGCCTGCGGTCGTGTGAGCAGGCGAGAAGCAGAGCAGGACCCCGGTGGCACCCCTGCGTCCCGGCGGAGTTCCCGACGTTCCCGGCACGTGTGGGACTCCCCGCGGTGGCCATGCCCGGACACCCCCCCGCCCCCCGCCCCCAGAAGAGGCTGTGGGGCCGCTCTTTCCCTGTGGTCGCGCCTCCGCGCCAAGGACGGGGCTGGGGCAGGAGTGAGTTCCGCGATTTAAAGACAGGGAGCTACGCTGCAGCAGATCCTGCGGCTCCAGCCCGGGCGGGGCCTGGGGGGCTCCCCGAGGAGAGTCCGCCAGGGAGCCCCAGCCTGTCGGTGACTAGAACCGGGTCCAGCGTAAACGCTGCGGCAGGGGGCTTTGCTCCAGCGCAAGGACTGGGGGAGCAGAGACGCCCCGGAGCGGTGTGGGGCTCCCGCTGGAGAGCGGGCGGTCAGGGCAGTCAGCGGGAGAGGGCGGGCGGCGCGAGGACGGGCCCGGGAGGGGAACACTTCATGTGAGCTCTGAAGGGGTCCTTTGGGAGCGGCCCCCTGGAAGAGCAGGTGTGGGGGCGGATCGCGGGGTCTCTGGAGGAGGAGGGTGCAGACACTGGGGAGCCCCGGGTGGCTTCTGAGCAGAGACGGGACGAGGCTGGTGCTGAGTGTCTGGTGACAGCCAGCCGGAGAGACCGGGGACCGGCAGGCTGGGGGTGGGGTGCGGCTGGCAGGGCTGAGGAGCGGAGAGGACCGGAAGGACAGCGCTGCGGGTGGGGGGGGGGCACACTCGCGACAGAGCCGGAGGGACCTGGGCCCCCCGCAGGGCAGGCGGCCTGCGTGGGGCTCTCTCTTCAGGAGCCACGCTCACTCCCAGCTCGTCCGGCGCAGGGGCCGGCTCGCCCGCTCCTCTGAAGGAAGAGCCACTCGGGACGTGGAAAGAGTGGGCCAAACGGGGGGCGGGGTCGTCACCTGGGGGCGCTGTCCCCCGGCCGCCCCCCGGCTGACAGGCACACGGAGCTCCCGGCGCCTCGGGCTCCAGGCTCAGGCCTGGTGTCGCCGCTGGAAAGGGCCCTCGTCACGGCCCCTGCGAACCTTGTTGTCCCCAGGCCGGCCCGGGGACGGGGGACTCAGTGACCGACGCCGCAGGCCCTGGTCGGCCCGCAGGAAGTCAGGTGCAGCGGGAGGAGCCCACGTGGAGAGAACACAGGGATCACCCCCGGGAGGGGCCGAGGGGCGACTTGGGATTGGACTCCGCCGGAAGGGCTCGTCTGCTGCTGCCCCCAGCCCCGAGCCCCCGGCCCCCAGCCCCGAGCCCCCAGCCCCGAGCACGCACTCATAGCCAGGGAAGGCGGGAGGGGCCCATCGCGGCCGGAGACCTGCTGAGGGCGGCCGAGGCGCCACGGCGAAGCTGCTTCCTGTGACCTACACGTCGCGTTACCCACCCCATGGTCACCCTCGGACCCTCGGCCAAACCGCTCGCAGCAGGTGGTGATGTCGACCCTCCTCCGTGGGGAGAGAAACCAGAGCTTCTTGCCCAATGACCTGTCCGTGCCCAGGCCACCGGCGAGCTGCCCCGGTCCCTCTCTTTCCGATGACCCCAGTCCCACTGAGACACGCTCACAGGGTCACCTTGGAGCTCTGTCACCAAGTTCCCAATCGGGGGAGTGCGGGTGTGGACAGGCTGAGTCCCGCCATATTAGACTGGGGCTGGGGTGGGGGGGGGGCACTGGGGCAGCTCCCCGGACTCCGGCCCAGGTGAGAGAGAGTGTGGGGGCCGGGCAGGAAGAGGCAGCTGGCCCGTGGTGACTGTGGACAGGAAGTGCTACCTGATGCACAGCCCGATAGGGCTTGCAAAGGACACCAGCGTGCGAACGCTGGGTCCAGGGACTTCCTGTGCATCTGAGGCGGGAGCGGGGGCCGCTGGGAGCCAGGGGAGTCAAAGTGGGGTCGCATCTGGGCTGCGAGGGGTCCATGTGCAGTGGGACACACGGGGCTTTGTGTGGGCCCCCCACCCCCCGGGGCGGTCACCTGCCGGGTCCCACTGCAGAGGTCAGTCCTGAGATGCACGTCTCACTCTCAGGTTCTGAGACCTTAGGAAGGCTCAAGCTAAGAAAGAAAAAGAAGAAAGAGAGAAAGAAAGAGAGAGAGAGAGAGAGAGAGAGAGAGAGAGAGAGAGAGAGAGAGAGAGAGAAAGAGAGAGAAAGAAAGAAAGAAAGAAAGAAAGAAAGAAAGAAAGAAAGAGAGAGAGAAAGAAATCAGTCTTGCTCATTGTTTTTCAAAGATCCAGTGGGCAGAAAAGTGCACGGGACGGAAGCAGGTGGCATCTCAGGGGCGCCCTCAGAACGCCCGGCCTGGGTGTGGCCGCGGCCACAGCTGCCTCTGCCCAGAGCGCCAGGGACAGCCACACCGTCCTTCCGTGGTCTTTAAAGTCTGGTTGAAATAAAACTAAAACGTGCCCACAAACAAGTCTCCCCACAACCCCGGCCTCGGCTTGAGCCCTGACGTGTCAGCTGCTTGTGACTGGAGCCCGGGGACCCGGGCGTGTGCCCCCGTCACCACCCACGCCTGCCGGACAGAGACACGGGGCACCCGCACCTGCCCTTTCCGACCTCGGCTGGAAACAGGAGGCCAGAGGTGGGAAAACACACCTCACACGGGGGCTGAAGGCTTCCCAGACCTCGGAGGAGACTGAGCAACTCACCCGGACCACAGGCCTGGCCTCTCGCCCGGAGCCCACCCCGCCCCGGCCGCCCTCGCCCGGGACTCAGCCCCCACGGTGCCCTGAGGGCGGGACAGCAGACACGGAAACGTCTTTTCCACCCGATGCCCCAGGGCGACCACGAACACGGACCACGTGGCCACTTCCCCCACGCAGATAGGAAGGGTGGGCGGCTGAGTCACGTGCTCAGCGCTGGGTGCGTGTTTTTAGGAAACTACCAAACAGCCCAGCCGGGTGCCCCAGTGGGTCGGGCGCCGTCCCATAAACTGGGAGGCCGCGGGTTCGATTCCGGGTTTCGGTCACCGTCGGGGCCCGAGGAAGAGGCAGCGGAGGGACGTTTGTCCCTCACGTCAATGTCTCTCCCTGTCTCTCCCTCTCAAGTCAATGAGCATGGCCTCAGGGGAGGATGAGAGGAAAAGGAAAATTAACCGCCGAGACGTTCTCCGAAGCGAGAGCCCCTCCGACCGGCACGCTGGGGTCTGGCCCGTCGTCTCCACGCCGGCCACGTTCGCGAGTGCGCGGGCGCATCCCTCTGTGGCTCCCCTCCCCGCGTGGCTCCTGGCTGACGACGCTGAGCGAGCGTCTGCTCACGGGCGCACCTGCAGCCGCGTGTCTCCCGAGACTAAGTGCCCGTTCAGACAGTCGCCCGTTCCGGGTTATTCGGGTGTTCACTCTCTCCCCGAGTCCGGACGGCTCCTGCTGCCTCGGACCCACGCTCCCCCGTAAGCGCTGCTGCCCCGCCCGGGGCTTGTCTTCCCGTCCTCTCACCGGGAGGCGCCGGAGAACAGAGGCGGACGGTTTTCAGGGAACCCAGTTCTTCAGTGTTTTCTTTTTTTAAATGTTTTGTTGATTACACTATTACAGCTGTCCTATTTTCTCCCCTTTCACCCCCCTCTCTGCCCTGCACACCCCTCCCACCAGCATCCCCCCTCCCCCCTTAGTGCACGTCCACGGGTCGTACACACGAGCTGTTGGCTTCTCCATTCCCCATCCTGTTCTTGCCCTCCCCCCGTCCGTTCTGTACCTGCCGTTTCTGCTGCTCATTCCCTGGACCTTTGCCCCCGTTCTCCCCTCCCCCTCCCCACTCATAACCCTCCATGTGACCTCCATTTCTGTGATTCTGTTCCTGTTCTAGTTCTTTGCTTAGTTTGTTTTGCTTAACTTCCTTGGGACTCTGGGAGCTGCCTGGACTTCCTGGAAATAGACTTACTTCCTTTCCCAGATTGGGGGAAGTTCTCCTTCATTAGTTGTTCAAATAAGTGTTCAATTCCTTGTTCTTCCTCTTCTCCTTGTGGCACCCCTATGATTTGGATGTTGGTGAGTTTAAACTTGTCCTGGAGGTTCCTAAGCCTCTCGCCATGTTTCTTAAATTCTTGTTTCTTCATTCTGTTCTGGTTGGATGTTTATTTCTCCCTTCTGCTCCAAATTGTCGTTTTCAGTTCTGCTTTCCTCCCCTCACTGGTGGTTCCCTGTGCATTTTTCTTCATTTCACTTTGCATACATAGCCTTCCCTTCTTCCTCTATTTTGGGACCAAGCTCAACCAGTCCTGTGAGCATCCTGATCACCAGTGCTTTGCACTCTGCATCTGGTAGGTCGACTATGTCTTCCCTGCTTAGTTCCATTTTTGAAGCTCTGATCTGATCTTTCATTTGGGCCATAGTTCTTTGTCTCCGCCTGCCTGTTATGTAGTACTGGGCGGGGCCTTAGGTATTGACCAGGGTGGGACAACCCACGTCGCTGTGTTGTGACGCTGTCTGTGGGGCAGGGGTCTGCGAGGGGACAGTGCTGCTTGCTCAGCTCCCTGCTGGATTCCAGCCACTCCCCCGCTTCCCACAAGCACACTGGGCCCTCCTGGTGCTGACTCCTGGGTGGGTCCGTGTACGTTCTAGGACCCTGTGGGTCTCTCCACCAAACTCTCCTGTGAGGCTGGGAGTTTCTCCGCTGCCAGAGCTCCCACAGATTTTTTCAGTTGGAGGTTTGAGGCTTTATTGCCCCGTCCTGGAACCCTGGGTTTTGGGTCCGTCTCACTCCCCAGTTGTTCCTCCCGGTTTATCTGCACGTGAACGTGGGACCGCCCTGTCCTGCAGCCGCCACCTCGCCTCGAGTGCTCTCCCCCGGCTGCCTGGCTCTGCCCCTCCTACTGGTCTGAGTAAATATTTCTGCTTTAACTTCTAGGTTGTCGGATTTCTATATAGTTCAATTTCCTGTCAGTTCCGGTAGTTTGTTTTAAAATTTGTTGTTGTCCTTCTTTTGGTTGTGCGAGGAGGCACAGTGTGTCTACGTACGCCTCCATGTTGGCCAGAAGCTTCCATTTTTTTCTTTTATGGATTGTGATGTGTCTGATAAATCCTTGCCTACGTCCATTCATGGAGGTTTTTCTCCTAATTTTTCCCTGGAGTTTAACAGTTTCAGGTGTCTCATTTTGGGTAGCCCAGTCCGATGTTATTTTTCTTTCTTGATTTATTTATTTATTTGTTAGGGAAGGGAGGGAGAAAGAGAGAGAGAGAGAAACATCCATGTGCAGTTGCTGGGGGTCATGGCCTGCAACCCAGGCATGTGCCCTGACTGGGAATCGAACCTGCGACGCTTTGGTTCGCAGCCCGAGCTCAATCCACTGAGCTACGCCAGCCAGGGCTCGATGTTGTTTTTCTAACGGGATGAGAAAGAAGCCCCTTGTTGTAGGATGTAACATAAGCTCTGGGATAGTTGGGCTCCAAACCCACCCCACGATCAGCCAAATGCACCGTCGGGGCCCCGATCTGGACGATACTCCTGGGCAAAGCCTTTCCCGGGACCTCTTCTCAGGTGGCAGGCCACTTCACCTGGCTGCAGGTGCGCCGGGGCCCGTGCGAACCTCCCGCTGCTTGCTCCAGGACCTGGGGACACCCTGGGCTTATTCCGGCCCCAGGAAGCCCCCCACACAGGACGGGGTCTGCAGTGAAAGGGGTCCCGGCGATCAGCCGCGTGGCCTGCCGCCCTTCAGGCTGCGAGGGGGGTCTGGCTCCCCAATTCTGCCCGAACCCCAGCTGTTCGATTCGCTGGCGCAGGCTCCGGTGCTGGGGTCGGTGGGTAGGCGGGCCCCGAGTTGACGCTGTGACGGTTCTGTGGGTTCCGAACCTGCGGAAGCCACTGGAGACGCTGAGCGTGCGCCCCCTCCCCTGGACAGCTACGGTCGCATCGACCCCGTATCTGACCACTGGTGGCACCTGGGAGTGGGAGGGACTCGGTCCTGGCAGCTGGGTCTCCTCGTGCGAGGACCCAGGTCGGGTCTGTCGTCTCGGTTCCGGCTGAGCGGCTCAGCCAGCGGCCGCTGTCCCTGCTGTCCCCACTGTCCCCGCTGGCCCCACAGTCCCCGCAGGCAGCGAGAGCCGCACACCCAGTTCCGACGCTCGCTGCCGTGGGCTCGCTGCTGCGGTCCCTCGTGGGGCCACTTCCTGAGGCAGCACCAGGCAGGGCTCTCCGGTGCCCTTGGGGCTGGGAGGGCACCAGAGGCCCGGCCGTGAGTCCTCTGTCCTCGTGCCCGTGGCTGCGACCCCGATGCCCCCTCCCAGCGAGGGTCCCCCCCTCCAACGCGCGCACTCTCCCCGGCCCCACGGCCGAGAGGGGCGGGGAACGAGCCCGGGTGCTGGGACTCCAGGTGGACAGAGGCTCTGCTCAGGCGGCGTGCCATGGGTGCCGGCACGCAAGAGCCACCTGACTCACTGTCCTCCCTCCACAGCTTCAACAACTTGGTCTACACGTACCGCATCTTCCAGGACAAGTACGGGCAGTACAAGATACAGGTGAGGACGGCAGCACAAGACCGCCCGTGGCGGCAGCTGCAAGCCGGGGCGGGGACCTGGGGGCGTCGTCCCCGGGGACACGCAGGGGAGTGCGTGCCACGAAGGGACAGGAGCCAGGAGGCACCCTCGTCTGGCCCCACTTGGACCAACTATTCAAAACGGAGAGTCCCACGGTCCTGGTTCCTCCGTGGACCAATGCACCGCTGGGCTCTGGCGCCACCGCGGAAGAGGGGGGCCCTGCAGTGGCGGGGAAGGGGGTGGGGAGGGCGGGGGCAGGTGTGGGGGCTCGGCCGTCGGCCGGGAGGAGCCGGGGAGCTGCCTGCACGGTTCTCTCCTCCCCCGGGTTCCCCGGGAGCTCAGCACACTTCCGTGTGTGTGTGTGTGTGTGTGTGTGTGTGTGTGTGTGTGTGTGTGTGTATTTGCTTCCTTTAAACTTCTCTCTTGTCAGGTTTAGGTTAGAAAACCGTCCTTGCTTGACGGCGGGCGCGCAGAAAAGTGCTCCTTCGCCCCGCGGCCGGCGGGTGCGCTGCTCTCGGCTCGAACCCGGACGTTTCGTCCTGTTGGCGCTCCCGGCAGCTCCGAGGCTGTCGGCGTGCCGCTGGCACGTCTGGGTCTCCCGTCCGAGAGCCGCACCGCCAGTCCCCGCCCAGAGCGAGGCCGTCAGCGAGGTGCCGACCGGCACCAGCTGTCCCTGAGCCGCCGTGGGGCTCATGGGGGACGCGGCCTGAGCCGGGGCCCCCGGTGGCCGAGCCACAGGCGTCCTGCCGACCCGCTGTCCCTGGGAGGCCCCAGGCCTGGGGGGCACGTTCTGGCCTGCCAACTCGGGGGCCACCCGAGACGGGCGCCTGCCACACACGGTCGCGTGACGCCCAGCGGCCCCCTCCTCGTGTCGTTCCCGCAGACCGCGGCCAGCGTCCCGAACCAGGCCTTCCCCAGCCTCAAGGAGCTGGTCTCCAGGTTCCGGAAACCCAACCAGGGGCTGGTGTTCCCGCTCCTGAACCCCGTGGAGAGGACCGGGCCCTGCCTGTGGTGGCGGAGCTCGAAGGTGGACATGGACGACGACGACAACGACTACGGTACGGCCGCCCTCGGAGCCGGCACACAGGGTGGGGGGCGGGGGGCTTTTCCTGCCCCTCGGCTCTGAGGGTCCCTCATCCCAGCTTGCGGGGGGGTGGGGGGCGGCACCTCCAGCCCTGGGGTGGCCGATGTGCACCTGGGACATCAGGGCGGACACCGTCACCCCCGCCTGCCCTCGGCTTTGGGACAGGGCGGCGAACAAGCAGACGGTCCAGTGACCGCCCTGCTCCGACCCCTCCCCGAGGTCCCGGGGCCCCTGCGGGCTGCACGCACTGCATGTGCGCCACCTCAGCCGCCACCACGGGGCAGAGGGGGTCCGGGCTGAGGCCTCTCCCACCGCAGCCCGCGGCGGCTGGGCCCCGACGCCCACAGACAGATTGTCTGCGACCTTCAGTCTGACTGTGACTCAGTCCTCCCGAGACCTCCAGGGGCCCACTTCCTCTCGCTGGGACGTGGGGGTCGCAGCCCCGGGGAGAGGCTGCAGCCGCCGGTGGGCGGGGACGGAGGCAGAGGACAGAGTGGGGGCGTCGCCCCACACAGGTTCCGCCCTGTGTCCGGCAAAGCCCCTTGGGGACCGCCCCACCCTGGCCCACCCAGTGAGACCCAGCAGTGATGGGCCTGGCCCCCACCCTGGCGTCTCCCTCGCACCCGCACGCACGGTCTGCACCCGGACCGCACAGCCCCTTCCCCTCGGCTCGGCTGCAGGCGTGGCCCCGGCTGCAGGACCACTCCCCCAGAACTTACGGGACAGACAGAGCATCAGGGGGGTGGGGCGGCCCGTGGGCGGAGCCACAGGAGCCACTGGGGGCCGGGGGCAGACAGTGCTCACCAGTGAGACAATGGCCACCAGTCCCACAGGACAGCCCCTTGCAGACGGCCCCCCGAGGCCCAGGCGAGACTTGCCGCCCGCCGCAGTCCCTGTGCGGTCAGCCCCTCCTCCTCGGCGGGAAACGCCCCTCCCCTGGACCCCTCGGGACACAGGGCGCCCCCACTCCAGGCATCTTCCGGGGCCCGACTCCTAAAGCAGGGCCCCGGGTGGCAGGAGGAGCTCTGTGCGGCGCCCTGCCCTCGCCGACACGGTGCTCTGACGCGGCCTCAGGCTGACAGGGGGGCGGGGGGGGGCAGTGGGGATGGGGGCAGGTCCGCTTCCCCACCAGCAGGAGGTTGGGAGGACCCTTGGGTGCTGCTGGGCTTCACGCCGGCCCCTGCTTGTCCCCAGAGAACTGCAGCAGCGAGTACATAGAGGTCTTGCCCTGAAGCCACGGGGCCGCGGCCCTGGGGAAGATTCACGCATCTGGAGACCGGACCCGGGGGACACGTCGCACTGTCCCGGCCTCCTGACTGCAGGCGTCCTGTCCGCCAGCCTCCCCGCACCACCGGCACCACCCACCCGGCACCACGGGCCCGGCACCCAGCGGGCGGCCCGGAGCCCCGCCCCTCCCAGCACCTGACGCTGGGCCGTCCTCCTGGCCTCCCCCCTCCCCCCACTGTGCCGCTTCCCTCAGGCAGCGCCTGGGCCCAGGGCTTCGGGCGCAGCTCTCGCGCCCCCCCCCCCCGCCCTGGGCACTCGTCTCTCCACCTGGGAGGGGGCCCACCGGCTCGGCCCCTCCCCGGAGCCTGGCCGTGCCGGGCGCACTCAGGGCCCTGGAGTGACAGACGGACATGCCAGCACCCATCGGGGACCCAGCCTCCCGGCCCGCGCGTCCCCTGCGGTGGCCGCACTGTCCTGGCCACGCGGCCCTCCGGCCCGGGGGACCCGCCTTCCTCCTCCTTTCCAGTCTTGACCTTGCTGCCCAGCCTGGCCCTGGACACACCTGCCCCCCGGGTTGGCCTCATTTCATCGACGCGCTTGCCACCTGGCCGCACGGACAGGCTCTGTCCGGTGACACAGGTGGGGTGGGGGTGTCGTGGGGACCTGCGTGACTCCTGCCCCGCCCAGGTCTGAAGGGCCCCGAAGGGTGGCCGGAGCCCGTGTCCTCCTCGTGGGCGGAAACTCCCACTTGCGCCGTGACGCTGGAAGGGTCCCCGAAGGCCTGGCCGGGCTGGCCCCGGGCCCATGGGCTTTCTCTGAGTTGTGCCAGGAAGAAACCCCAGGTTTCCGCACGGCGTGAGCAGATGGGGGACCGGAACCCCGAGGGGAGCCACGGGGGCTCACGGGTCCCGGTGACCGCAGCCACCGCCGAGCGCAGAAGGCGTGAACCTCGGGGTGCAGCCCCACCTGGAGGAGGGGGATGGAGCAGACCCTGCCAGAGGGGTCGGGAAGGGGCCAGGAGCAAGCAGCACCCCGGGCGTCCTGGTCTGACTCTCTCCGTGGGGCACGAGGAGGGCGTCCCCGCCCTGGAGCCCCCGCCATCCTGGGCACAGACCAGACAGCCAAGAATGTTTCCAGAACAGACACTGAGTAGGTCCACGCGCACAGTGGGTCCATCTTCTGCAGGGCAGGGGTCTGTTTGGGAGTCACACCTTTCAGAGCCCAGCGGGACAGGACTCGTAGCTCAAGGTCACTCAGTGCACCTCCCAGGGCCGTGACCTGTTTCCCGAGTGCCCAGGCCCGGGCCCCGCCTGCCCCTGGTCCCGGAGGGTCCGCCTCTCCCACCGGCAGGCCCCGAGGAAACGGCTGGCGTCGACGCCAGGCCGCACGTCCCCAAAACTGGTCGGAAGAGCCCGCACATGCAGCTCAGTCTGGGCCTGTGGGCCGGGGAGGGACTCCCACAGCCACTCCGGGCCTCTGGGTGCCAGCCGCTCCATCCGCGCGGAGCTGCAGGCGCCAGTCACACGGACGGGGTCGTGGACCTCGCGGGGCTGCGCTGCGTCAGGGACCAAACGCCCAGCCACGTCGTGCTCCTGGCTTTCACTTCGCCGGCGGGGTCAGGAAACCGATGTTGCATTTGAGATTTCCGCATTAAAGTTCATAACCCGGCCTCGGCTGGGATGGCCCAGTGGATGGAGTGCCAGCCTGTGAACCAGAGGGTCGCCAGTTCGATCCCCAGTCAGGGCACGTGCCTGGGCTGCAGGCCAGGTCCCCGGAAGGGGGCGCTCAAGAGGCAACCACACATTGACGTTTCTCTCCCTCTGTTTCTCCTTCCCTTCCCCCCTCTCTAAAAATAAATAAATAAAATTTCCTAAAAACTTAAATAAAATTCACAACCTGCGTGGAGCTGCACTTGGCCGCACCCCCCCATTCCAGCCGCACACAGTGAGTGCCGCCGTCTTTGCCCCGGCTGGTTTGCTGCGGCACCTTTGGAAGCCGAGGCGGGCCCTCCCGCACCTTCAGCGTCCATTTCCGTTCTTGCGAAGAAACTGCGTTTGAGGCCCGTGGACAAGGGGGTGCGGGCGTCTCACGACTCTCAGGGTCTTCAGCTCTCCTCAGTCTACTCAGTTATGTTGCCAGTTTTGCCATTCTTTGTTTTACCAGGAATGCATCCATCTTTTGACTGTTTCCTCAATTATTAACATGTAGCTCATAATGTTTTTCTATTATTTTTAAGTGGATTTTTCAAGGTTTTATCATTTACTCATTGTTAGAGAGAGGGGAAGTGTGGGGAGAAAAAGGAAGAGAAACACCACTCCCTCATGCGGACCCCCAACTGGGGGCTGAAGCCACAACCAGGCCTGTGCCCTGACCGAGACTCGAACCGGTGACCTTGCATTTTGATGCCCAACCCACTGCACCCCACTGGTCAGAGCAAGTGGGGGTCTTTCCGTAACTATCTCATCACCTCGACCTGTTTCCTTTAGTTTACAAAGGGTTTCTCTTCGTCTCTTGAAGGTTTTTGCCTTTAATTGTATTTTGAATCATATCCTGGTTTTCCTCTAATTCACACTTTCCCAGGATAACGACATTTTTCAAAACTTTATTTTCATTTTTTAAAAAATCTTTTACGTTTCTGTAGACAACATATTGCCGACCATAATTCCCTTCCGACCCAAGACCCTCCCCGTGGTGAGCTGGGTGAGCTCACCGTTACTGTAGTCTGTCCTGCTGGGGTTCACCTGCCGCCGAGGCTGGCTGGAATGTGTGCACCCACCCCCCACCCGCGGGCTGAAGCTCTGCCCCCCAGGGCGGTGGTCTTTGAGGAGGGGCCTTTGGGAGGTGACAGCTTCCCATGAAGCCTGGGGGGGGGCGAGACCCTGAGGGGATTAAGTGACCCTGGAGCGCCCCCCGGGAGGGCTGTGAGGACACGGGGCTGGGGTGTGGCCGTGGGCACCCCAGGAAGGGGCCGCACCAGACGCCAGAGCTGCTGGCACCTCACCGCAGGCTTCCTGTGCTTCCTGTCGGAAACACTCACACACCTCAGCTGCCGTAACGAGGCTCACGCGCCTCCCTCCGGCCCCCTCCACCCCCTGACCCCGCTTTTCTGGGGTATTGATCCTGAGGTACTAGGAGCTACTCCTTCGCCACCGAGAAAACTGTAAATGTCGCCGCCGCGGGGACGGTCCCTCCTTCCTATCTCCAGACGCCCACAGTCCCTCCTCTCCTCCGGTGCGTGTTCAGTGACACGGCCACAGACGGCGGGCGGAGGACTTCCCTTCTGGTGACACGAGGGAAAGGGTGCTTACAGAAAAGGTCCTGCACCCAGGTATGCACAGTGTCGTCTTCTGTTCCGTGACTAAAGAGGCTCCCCTGTGCTTTTGTGTGTTTTTTGAAGTGGGATTACTTCTGAAAAAAGAGAAGCAAATTACTGGCGGGGGGGACGGGGGGGGGGAACGTTCATCACTGACTCTCGGGAGTGGAGGTCTGGAGCCTCGCAGGAGGCCCAGTGTCGGGGACTCTCGGGGCCGGACCGCATACCCAGCCCCCGATGCTCGCCGTGAGCTCCACGCACCCAGGACCCGTAAGCACTGCCCGGCACCAGCGCCTCCCGTCCCGAATTGCCACAGAATGTGGTGACCACTTCCTAGCGTGGAACACACGAGAAATGAAACACGGAGCCCAAGTTCGAGCTCCTGCCGCAGGGAAACCGCGTCCAGCCAGCCCCACGAGGTCAGCCAGCCACTGAGCGAGCGAGCGGGCCCAGAGCTGTGTTCAGCCCGGCGAGGCACCACGGAGCCCACAGAGCAGGGGTCAGGGGCCTGCGGGCGGACGCCCGGCCAGCGAGAGGGGCACACACATCGTCCTGCGCTGCCCTCGGGCCAGTCCCTGCCACTCGTGGGGCAGACCCACCCTGAAGCCCTTGAGAGTGGGTGTCTTCCGGGGCCCGGGGGCCGCCGGGCCCTGCACAGGTGGGTAACTTTGGACAAGATGCCGGAACTTCCTGCAAAGGGCCCTCGGTGGGCACGTGGGTGGGCGAGCACAGGTGAGCCCCGGGAAAGACCCTCCTCCTGGTCCCCCTGCCTCGGAGCCCGAAGTCCCCAGGCCACGTGACTGTTTGGTGCCGGTGACATCGCACTTGGCCCCGGAACCCCCTGGCTGGTGTGACAGGGGGGCACCGGCCCCCAAGTCGAAAACACAAGCCTCCAGGTTCTGGCTCTGATCCGTTGTAAGGCGACGTGCTTAGTCCTCCTCCCAGCCTCAGTTTACCCATCTACAAAATGGCGCCAACGTAGCTACCCGTGAGCATGGTCTAAGGAGACCCTGCATGCGTGTCTCTGGACGTGGGAGGGCTGCCTCCGACCAGAGGGCCGAGCGGGAGCTGGCCTCCCACGCACGGGTTCCCGCAGCAAGCAGGCCCGACCAGCACTGGACGCAGAGGAGCTCCAGAGAGACAGCAACGCCTCCCCCCCCCACGGGGAAGGTCGGCCGGCTGCTAGGGGCTGGGACTCGGAGCAGCTGGGGACCCGGCGGCCGGCGGGTGGCCGGCAGAGACGTGTGGCCTCTCCGTGCAAGGCTGCAGGCTGGCGGCCGCCTCTGCTGGCCGCACGGCGAGATGCCCTGCGCAGGGTTCAGAGCCGCAGGGCTCAGGCTGGACGGACAGGAGGGCACAGGGCCCACTGACCACGTCCCACTTCCAGGGGGCCTCCCTGCCTCCTCCCTGCTCGACCCTCCGGTGCAGGGGCCGGGAAGGGGCTGTGAGCGGCCGGGGCGGGGCTATGGGAGACCCAGGAAGGGTGCGGCCCAGTCCGGTCCACACCGTCCGGCACACGTGCACTTGCACACACACACGAAACCGCCCGAACGGAAGGACAGACTCGGAGCTCCACTCGCAGTGCACCGTCAGCCGCCTCCCGTGACGCGCCCGGCGGGCGGCTGGGGACCGAAGAGTGACGCACGGAGGTGACGCGGTCGTCCCCCGAGGAGCTCCGAGACCCACGGGAGGGGCCCCAGGAGGTGGCGGCTCCCCGCACGGGGGGGGCAGTGCCCCGGCTGGAACAATGCACAGGACGCTCCGGGAGCGGGCGGGCGGGGCGGGCGGGGGAAGGAGAGGCAGAGGGGACAGAGCGTGCGGACGGCGATCGGGGGCGCTGGTGGGGCCCCAAGGTGCCTCTCTGAAGGGGACTGAGGTGTCCCTGTCCTGGGCACAGTGTCTCCTGGGTCTTCTTCCATAAACGCCACTCTCGTTCACAGCTCAGGGCTGGACGCCCTCTGGGCAGAGCTCGCGGACAGCGGAGCACCCCCCACCACGGAAAGTGGGGGAACACTGCTGTCTGTGACAGCACCGGCTGTGGGGGGGATGGAGAACACCGTGCTCAGTGGAACAGCTGACGGCGGGAAGGACGGAACCTCAACGACCTCACTCGCTCGCGGAGGTCCTGGTGGGGTCTCCCTGGGGGGCGGGGGGGCCGAGTGCAGAGCCACAGGGCAGCCTTGAGGTCTCGGGGGTGGGGTGGGGGCCACAGCAGACGGACACCACGTCACCGCCTCGTCCAGAGGTCCCTGAGCGAACCATCGGCCGAATGTCGCCTGATAAATCCTCCCTGAAGAGCTGCTGGGCCAGAGCACGCCCCAGACCACCTGCTCCCTCCCTGCCCCGGGGGTCTCACCTGCATGCGCCGGTCCGTCCGAGTGCCTCCCCCGAGACGGCCGGTGGGCAGAGGGCACCTCCCCGCGGCCGGCCGCACGGCAGGGCCGTCTCCGGGCCTGAGGCCGGCGGGCTCCTCAGCCATGCCCTCTCGGGACCCACACCCTCAGAGACATACAGAGACGTATGGGGTCCAGACAGCCGGCCGCCCCCACCCGCCAGGAGAAAGACCAGGCCAGCAAGACAGAGAGGTCGTTTATTGTGCCGTCTCCTATCCGGAAACTACTGAAAATATAAATACAAAATCTCTAGAAAACTCCCCGGACAGCGCTGCCGTCCTCTTCCTGCCCCGAGGGGGCGACGCCTGTCCTTCCGCAGCTGACGACGGTGACAGGCCTGACCGACCGACTTCACCCCCCACGGGACGGGGGCCCTGACCCCCACCCTCAGGTCTGGGAGTGGGGGGGGGCGGGGAGAAGAGGCAGCGCCCCAACTTGCCCTAGGGGACACAGAGCCTCCACGGGCCCCCCAGCCACCGCCCTCAGGGCTGTGGCCGCGCCGCCCGCAGGGCGGTCAGACTGGGGGTGGACGTGGGATGTGGACAGGGCCTGGGGCAGAGCGGCCCCGAGCCCTGCCCTCAGCAGGGTCGCAGGCGCTCGGACGAGGGGCCGGGCCGAGAGGGGCCGTGGGGGACAAGCCCCGGACAGGCCACCCACTCAAGGGCAGGGACGTTCTCTCCGTGCTGCAGAGGGGCCGACCCCAACGGGGTCCTTCTGGCCACAGGAGGGCGGTGGGACGGGACCCCTGGGGGCACAGGAGCAGGGTGGTCACGGGGGGGTGGGGGGGGCACGCCAGCCCCTCAGCAGCTCACAGAGGCAGGAGTGGGGGCCTGTGGCTCCAGGACCAGAAAGGCAGGTGGGGCCCCCCGGGGAGAGCCAGGGCCGCAAGGCCACTTCAGCACCAGCGCCGGCCCCTGCCGCCAAGCCCAGGCGTGCGCCTCCCTGAGACCGTGTGCACCCCCACCTCTGTCCGTCCAGGCCACACGTGCCTGCTCGGGCCCAGAACTCACCGCCTCGGGCGGCGGGGAGCCCTGGACAGCAGCCCGGCCCCGTGTCCAGTCTGCCCTGGGCTCTCTGGGCACCAGGCCCCGAATGCCAAGCTCCCGGGCCCCCCAAACCTGGTCAGTGTGGATGCTGCTGCTGCCACACACCGGGGAGCCGGAGCGGAGCTGACGGCACCCCAGGGCTGCTCCGGGGGACGCGCGAGGGCCTGGTGAGCGCACCCACGGGGATGGGGCAGGCTGGGGGACGGGGGCAGGCTGAGGTCCGGCTGGCTCTCCGGGTCTGGCCCCTCCTCAAGACAACCCCGTCATTCCTGGCCCTGCCTGAGCCCTGACCCAGTGCATCCCTGAGGCCGGAGGGGGTCGGGGGTGGGGGGTCAGAGGGCAGACCGGGGCTCTACTCGAAAGAGAGCAGGTCGGGGTGCAGCCCCTCTGTGTCCAGGCTGCGGGTCCGCGCCCCAGCACGGGCGGTGCTGTCCTGTCGCTCGGCCAGGCCCAGGGCACTCGGGCCGGCTGGGAGGCCGTTGCTCTCGCTGGGGCCCGGGGGCGGGGCCCCGCTGCACTCGCCGGCCCTCAGCTTGGCCTCGTCCTGGCCGTCCTGGTGGATCAGGTCAGGCACCGACAGGGGCGCCTCGCCGTTGGGCACAGCCGTTTCCCCGGCGGCCTCCGGCTGGGCGCTGGGAGGAGGGTCCTGGGGCTGCCCCGGGGGCAGGGGCGGCTCCGCCCCGCACTCCAGGCTGCTCAGGACGGGCTGGGAGGAGATTAGCATGTCCTGCGTGGTCTTCAGGGCCCGGGGGGTCCGCTTCCGGGCGGTGGGGGGCGGGGGCTCCAGCCGTGGGAACGCATCCGACCCGGAGGACCTGCAAGGGTGATGGTGACACTTGGCCATGGCAGCCCGTCCCCACCGTGTGCCCGCCGGCCAGGCTGCGCCCCGCCCCCCGCCCCGACCCTGCCTGCTCCCTCTCCGGGGCTCCGGGGCGGCGCGTGCCGCAGCGGCTCCGGCTGGGATGCGCTCGCTCGGAGATCTGGGCAGCTCAGTGGGGATCACGGGTGCTGCGGGGGCACCGTGGGGGGGGGGTGCACTCACCCGTCGTCCTCCTCGTCGGCCACGCCCGCCAGCCGGGCCTCCGCCGTCCGGTTGACCTCTGTGGCGCCCGCGCTGCCCGGGCCCCAGGGCTCCCTCCGGCGCAGCAGGTCGCTCACCCTGGCGCCCACAGCTCTGCCCAGGTTCCTCAGGTGCTGGCTGCCGCCCGCCCGGAGGCCCGGCCCGCCGGGCCCCGCAGACCCGGGGAACGGGGCCGCCGGCCGGGACGAGCGGGGCCCAGAGCGGCCGGGCTGCAGCTCCGGCGTGAGGCACGCGTTCAGGTTCTCAAACACGCCGAGGTCCACTGCAACAGAGGCGGGGCGGCGGGTGAGCAGCGGGGCCGTGGGCCGCGGTCTGCGTGGCCGGCCCTCCCCGACGACCCCACGCCCAGGCCTGGCACCTGCCCAGTGGTCTGCAGACGTCCAAAGGGCCAGCGAGATTCCCTGCGGGAGCGTGGGACTGGAGACACGGCCCGCCCGGCCCAGCCAGCCCCGCCCTCCGATCTGCCTCCCCCGGCACCCCCCCTACCCCCACCATGCGGGCACCAGCCCCGTGAGCAGGAGTGCCCGCTGGGCCTTGGGCCTGGGACGGCGCAGTGCAGGGGGCCTCTCGGGAGGCCGGCACTGGGCCCTGCCCCACCGGAAGCCCCATGCGCACGCAGTCCAGGGAAGACGAGCGGGGGCTGCGGCCCCCCGGGAGGGGGGTGGTGGAGCTGGGGGCCGGCGCCCTGAGGCAGGAGTGGGACCGGCGCCGGCTCACTGAGCCCTTGCGTGCCCCCGGGACCGCCTGAGCCGCCTGGTGGCCCCTCGCTGGCTGCACCGGTCCCTCCAAGGGCTGGCGCGGGCCCACTGGGCTACAAAATTTGCAGAGCTGGGGCTGGCCCACTCATCTCTACCTGCAGCAGCCTGCCCGAGTCGGTCTGGCGCACAGCAGGTGCCCGATAAGCACCTTGAAGCAAACTCTGAACGGGTGCAGGTGGAGAGCTGTGGAGGCCACGCCTGCGGCTCGGGGTCCGTCACGGGGGCGGCGGGGGCCCCGAGCTCTACGCCGGCCAGCCCCACTCGCCTGGAAGCCCATGTAGTCCCCGACGCAGACAGGCCGCCCGGGGCCCCGGGAGCAGCCCGGGGCCTGCCCTGACCAGCGACGTCCTGTGGCTCTGGGCAGGCCGCAGGCTGCTGCCCTCGCCTCCCGGGAGCGCGTGTGGTCAGGGAGTGCGTCTGCTCTGCTGACCTCGTGCGAGTGGCAGCCCCCGGCCCTGCGCTGCCCGGTCCGGGGCCCCGGAGCCCGCAGCCCGGGAGTGGGGCAGCAGGAGGCGGCGTGGAGGCCGCCCCCCACGACGGGCCCCAGAGTCGTGCCCCCTGCGCAGGGCGTGCCCTGCCGTGGGGGATGGGCAGGCGGGGACCGGAGGAGGGCGTCCCTGGGACGCGGGTGTGGGACCGGCGGGTGTGGGGTGCAGACCCGCCCCACGGGCAGAGGCCCCCCGCTCACCCCGAACCGGCCCATCAACTCCCGGCTCTTCCCCAGGTGGACGGCCTGCGTCCTCTCTCCGGGGGTGAGCTGCCCACTCGCCCCACCTCCCCGTCCTTTCTCGGTGCTCGTGACACCTGCGCGCCAGCCGCAAGGCCCCTGGGCGGGAGGCTCAGTGCCGTTCCCCTGCAGCCGGAGGCGCTTGGACGCGGACGCCTGAGTGGACAGGCCCCCGCTGCGCTCAGACAGCCCCCGACGGGCCGCGGGGGGGCCCCCGAGGTTGCCGTGTCAGAAACCATTTCTGACGAGCGTGAGCGACCTCCGGCCTCCGGCCGCGCGGGTGCCCAGGCACCCAGCCCGAGCTGGGCTGTCAGGGAGCTCAGAGGCAGCGTGTGGCCGCGCTCCGCACCCCGGGGTGGCCGTCCCGGGACACCGCCATGCGTCTGCGGTGACACGGGGGGGGCCTGGGGGGACGTGGCCGCGCGGGCATTCCTTTTCTGGGGCACTCCCCGGAGGCCTCAGCGGCGGGCGCGGGAGAAGCCGGTGTAACAGAGCTGAGCGCTGATGCGGCCAGTTAACGCCGACTGCACCGCAGGCTGGCCACGCAGGGGGCTGTTCCCAAGCCTCTTCCGGTCTACGAACGCCACCCAGCCGGCCCCCGCCCGCCGCCCGCCCGGGGACGGGTCCGCAGGGGCTCCGAGGCTCCGGCGCAGAGAAGCCGCCCTCCTCCAGGACCGGGGCCCCTTCACCGTGCCGCCCCCCCCCACACAGGAGTGATGGGCCCGGTCCCTGCCGGTGACACTCTGACCCCCCTCCCTCAGGACCGGGGGCTTGGGGCTGAGAGGACAAGGGCGAGAGGGACCCCCACATGCACAAGCCCCCACGAGAAGGGCGGGGTCTTACCTGAGCGGCCGAGACGGGCTCGGACAGCAGGTGGGAAGCAAACGAGAGAGACAGTTTATGTGGCAGCAGAGCCCCCTGACAGCCCCCCGTGGGGACAGGGACCCGCCGCACACACAGACCCCGGAGGGCCAGGTCCCACCAACGCCAACTGACTGCCGGAGCGGAGCTGCGCCCTGACGACTGCCCGGCAGACCCCTGGCCCGCCCCGCCCACTGCCGGGCGAGGCGGCTGTCTGCTGCAGACGGAGGGCGCAGACCCCTGGAACGGCCTTGGGCCCCTCCTCCCAGGAAACGCAGTGAGGTTTGGGCCTGAAGGGGACCGCCTGTCGGCAGTCGACTGGTCAGGAACGTCGATGCGGCACCCAGGCCGCGGGGGGCGGGGGGCGGGGATGGGGCGCAGGGAACGGGCCGGAGACGCAGGGACAGGGTCCCGAGAGGCGGCTCCTGGGTGCAGGGCCGGCAGGCGTCATCCGTGCTCACTTCACACTCACGGCCTCGTTGTAAGCACGGAGCCACCTCCGAAACACGTGTGTGGGGGGGTATAGAACGTACCCCGAACCACACACACACAGGCTGAGGCAGGTGACGAAACCTTGCCGGCAGGGGCGAGGTGGCGAGGAAGGCGACAGATGAGCCGGCGGCGGCCAGTGAGACAGAGGAGCCCGGAGCGGGCGGGCGGAACCGCGGGGCCTCCTGTGATGTCGCCGGCGCGCGGAACGCGGTCGTCTGGACGACCCGGCACCCCGAGGGGCAGGTGTGTGTCCCGTGCCCCCCGCAGGGACAGCATGGAGCGCTTCTCGCTGCTCAGCATCTCGGGGCCCCGGGCCTCCTCCTCAGCTCTGACCGCCCTGCCTGGCCTCCCGGCCCCGCGGGCCACCAGCCTGCCCGGTGAGCTCTGGGCCGCGCGAGCCCGGGTCTGTGGACCTCCATGACGCTACCAGGCCCCACCCCCGACCCACGTGCAGATACCCCTCCCCCCGACACCCACGGCCCACCGGGGGACGCCGACCACCTGGGCACGAACCGGGCAGGGCCGGAGGCCGGAGTGCCAGGGGCCGGAGCGCCAGGGGCCGTGCGGGTGTGACAGCAGCTGCTGGGGATGGGAGGGCCTTCGCTCGGGGAAACCAGCTCCCGGTCCTCGAAGGGCCCACGCCAGGCCCTTCAGCGTTAGGCCTGCGAGCCTGAACGGGATGGGGGAGGGGGCCGAGGACCCCCGGCTCTCTCAGCACCCAGAACCCATAACGTGTCGTCTGCCCCCAGACGTTGCCAAGCCCACGTCCCCCACGGAGGTGCCCAGCCCAGCGCGGGCCCCGCCGCCGCCGCCACACACGAGCAGCGCTCTCCGGCATGGGGTGGTGCTCTCGCCAGGTGAGCCCCGCGGGCGGGCACAGGACAGGCGCTCAGGGCTGCCTCCTCCCTGCAGTCTCCTCTCTGGTGCCCCCCCCACCTCCCGAGATCGCAGGCTGTGCCGACTCCCGTCCCGACTGCCAGGCTGCCGGAGACCGGCTCCCGCCCGGTGGGGGGAACCACGGCCACGGCCACGTCCCCGTCCCCGGGGCAGCGGGGCCTCAGCCCGCCGCCCCCGTCCGTGTCTGTCCCAGAGGGAGCACGCCGGGGGCACCAGGGCACCGTGCCGGGGAGTCCCTACCAGGGACTGAGCTGCTGTCGGTGGCGGGAGGGCGGGGGGCCGCAGGGAGGGGAGGGGCCCTAGAGGCTCCCCGCTCTCCGAGCCCGAGGCCCCGCCCGCCCGGCCCCTCAGGAGCCCTTTCCTCTGCAGACTGCGTGCTCGGGGAGCCCCCGGACGGGGCGCGGCCCAGGCGGAGCTGCACCATCTACCGGCCCTGGTTCTCCCCGTACAGCTACTTCGTGTGCCTGGACAAGGAGAGCCGCCCCGAGGCCCCGGGCCTCCCGGAGCTGCCGCGGGAGGAGGGCCGGGGGGACGGCCGGCTGCCCGAGGACGCGGCCGACAGCGCCTGCTCCTCCGCGTCCTCCCCGGACAACGCCTGCCCCCGCGAGGCCCCCGCCAGCCCCAGGCCCGGCCCGGACACCGCGGACCACGTCACGTCCCAGGACCTGCTGCGGGCCTCCCGGGGGCTGCCGGCCCCGCCGAGCGGCTTCAAGTGCGCGGCCTGCTGCCGCATGTACCCCACCCTGGGCTCCCTGCACAGCCACGTCCGGGGCGGCTTCCGCGAGGGCTTCAGCTGCCGCGTCTTCTACCGCAAGCTCAAGGCCCTCTGGGCCCGGCCGGCCGACAGGCTGTCTTCGTCCCTGGGCGGCTGCCGGGCCCACAAGTAGCCTGGGGGCCTGGCCCGCGGGGACTGAGCCTGCGTGTCTCCGGAGAGAGGCCAATAAACCCGTTACCACCGCTCGTCGGGTCTGAGTCACCCGGCGCCACCTGCTGGCGGCCGGCCCCACGCCGCGCCCCCCCCCTCCGCTCCCTGTTGCCTGGCAACCCCAGACAGGCCTGCCTGTCCGTTTTCTTCTCCCTCTCTTCCCCCCATCAATGGCACCCGCAGTTTGGGGGGGTCCACTGGGAGGGCAGTGAGTTCTCAGCCTGAGGAGCCCAGACTGGCACTGTCAGCTCCAGGGACCCCGAGGGGAGAAGATTCCCAGGCCTGCAGAGCACCCCAATGCCGCTCGAGTGTGAGGCCCCCCACCCTCACACGCCGGCCCCCCCGGGACCAGTCCTCGCACGCCCCCCGGGGGTGCTCCCGAGGGGACTGGGGGGGCGCCCTCTCCTGCTGGCACAGGGTCTCCACTGGCACCACGAACCTTGGCACCATCTGAGGGCTCCGGGCGTGCGCGGGGAGGGATGGCGCGGGGAGGGATGGGGCACGCCTGCACGCGAGGTCGCAGGGCAGTCACGGGGCTGGGCCGGGGCGGCTGAAGCAGAGCACACGGGGCCCTCTGCACGGCTGCGTGCGGTCGCCCCTCCCAGGTGGGCCCGTGAGAACCCTGCCTCCGGTCGCCAGGCAGCACCCCTGCGCTGCTTCCGGTCACTACGCGGCGTCCCTACGGCCCCCGAGCCCCCGGCCGAACCAGCCCCCAGCCGTCAGAACGGCTGACCACCCCGGCCGGCCTCTCGGCTTCTCCCACCCACCGGCGCCTGCATGTCCCGCACTCCCCCCGACCCCTGGTGCTGATCCCCTCCCGGCCGGCGGGAGCAGCCCACCCGAGCCGGGCGCAGAGGTTGCCAGGCCCGGCCCGAGCAGCCTCCAGCGGGGACACCCCGTCAGGAACCCCGAGGGACTGCCCTCCCCTGGTGCTCTCAGGGACGGCTCCAGAAACACGGCCACGAGGTCACGTTTTTGCAGCACTCACACCGGTCACCCGAGCGCAGCCTGGAGCCAAGCAGGCCGAGCTGACGGCGTCTCACCCTCGAGAGCGGACAGAGTCCCGGCACCTGCCCACCCTGCCGACGTCCCCTCGTCGTGACAACCAGAACCGTCCGCGTGAGGACAGTGCTCCCGGGGGAAGAGCAGCTGTTCCCGGAGGAGCACCAGGCACCGGGCTGCTCCACGGACACCCCGCCCGCCTCTGAGACACACACGGTCGCGCCCTCACACCGCGGCCTGGAGAGCGCGTCCCAGGGCTCGGGCAGCGGGCGACAGCGGTGACAGCGAGGAGGAGGAGCAGGGGGAACAGAAGCAGCAAGAGGAGACATCGGGAAAGCTTCAGAAACGAGCGAGGTTTATTAGCGAAAGCCACAAGTGTCAGCGTTGAGGGTAAGTGCACTTCCAGGACACAAGCTTTCCCAGAGCGCACGTCCCACAGCGCCCCCCATGGGGCTGCGGGGGGCGAGCGCCTGGCCGGCAAGGCCGAGGGACGCAGCCCCCGCCCAGGACGCCCCGGCGGAGGGAGCCGGCAGCCCAGGGCTGTGCAGAAGCCCCGCAGAAAGGTGCTGTCCGTCTGTCCGCACTGTGGGCCTGGGGGGCCGGCCGCAGTGTCCATGTGTCCTCCACACGGGGCAGAGCAGGGGGACAAGCGGGGAGGTGGGGGGCAGGACTCGGTTAGCAGAGCGAGAGGCCCCCCGGTCTGTCCCGAGCCCAGGTCCGCCCCGGCATGTGCTGGCCTGGGCCCCCTGGGGCGAGGCTGGGGCTGGCCAGGCGTCTGGAAGCCCTGTGCACTCGGAGGGCCAGGCGTGGGTGGGTTAAGCCAGGGGCTCAGGGATCAGCGTCCCCAAAGCTGTCACCTCTCCTCCACTGCCGCCTGGGTCCCCTTCACTCACCTGGAAGCACTGTCTTCCCACCCCCATCTCGCCCAGGGTCCCACCACGTCACTGTCACCGGCCTCAGGTGGGGCCTCAGACCCAGACCTTCCGGTCTCCGGACTCCCAACGCTGGCGGCCTCCGGGGGCCCCCCGAGGAGCCTGCCACGTCGGCCCCACCCGAAGCCTGACGGCAGTCCCTCGGCTTCTGGGGCCTCATGGTCCAGCCCTTCCTCCCGCTCACGTGTCCACACCCACCGCCATCGCTGAATCAGCAAGGACTGCCGGCAGAACCACGCTCTCTGGCCAGACGCCGTGAGGAAAACGCCCCCACCGGCGACCCACACACCCACACACCGTCCTCTCCCACCTGCCACTCACAACCCGCACACCCCCCGCACCCCGCGCACACGCTCACAGCACGCACGCACACGCCACCCCACCCGACACCAGGCACCACGCACGCAGCTGCGACCTCTGCTCTCGGTCCCACTGTCCAATGCGTCACCTGCGTCCAGTGAGACCACCTGGCCGACCCACCCTCGGGCCGGGCCACACAGAAGAGCTCGTCCTCACAGCCCAGCACCCCCCGCCCCCCGGTGCCGAGTGGCGAGGGCCAGGTGGCCAGGCGAGAGGACCGCCCATGTGCGCTCCCGGCACGGCCCAGAGACACGTCGGGGGGCGTGGCTGCGGCCCCCGGCTGAGGTGGCCGTGGCTCTGGACCACGGGCACCACAACGTCCGCTTCCAGCCTGTGCCGGTCTCTTGCAGCAAGAACTAGCCCTGCTGCCCAGCAGAGGGGCTGCCGGGAGGTGGGGCTGGGGCTCGGGCCTTTCCCAGAGGTCAGAGGTCAGGTGCAGCGAAAGCCTCCTACACCGACGGCAGGGCTCGTAGGTGGGTGGACAGGAGTCGGAACTGAGCGATGCGAGCGGCAGCGAAGAGGCCGCCCTCCCCTCGCAGGCCCGTCTCCCTGGGAAGCACACTCACGGTGGACGTGGGGCACCCCCCCCCGCCGGTGCAGGGACCTGAGCACGGCCCGTGGCACACTGCCACGGGAGGACCGTCCTTCCCACTGGGACCCAGAGCGTCCGGCCCCCACACCGCTGCAGGGGCCGGGGGGGCCCTGTCCTGCGAGGCAGCTGGCCACGGCGGGGTGTCCAGACACAAGGCACCTGAGGAGGCACGCAGTCCCCTTCCCGACCAGACTGCGCAGCAGGGGCTGCGGAGGGCTGGCCTTGGGGCCCTGTGCCAAAGCCCCGGGCTCCAAAAGGCCTGGCCGCCCCTCCTGAGGTCGTGGGGGGAGGGGAAGTGGGTCCCGTGGCCCCCCAGTGTCTTCCACGGCCCCCTCGGGAGCAGACCCTCGTCCTCCTCTGCAGCCGCAGACTCTGGCAGGGCCTGCCCGCTGCCCCCGAGCCACCGCGCAGCCCCGCGGCCCCGCCTACACCGCGACCTCGTCGTCCAGGGTGTCGCCCGGCTCCTGGCGCCGCCGCACGTGCAGCAGGCGCGGCGGCTCCTCCTCGCTCTCGTCCGTGGTGGACTCGCACTCCGAGGCGATGCCCGACTCCCGGAACCGCAGCAGCTCCAGGCCGCCCAGCAGCGGCCGGCCCCGCGGCCCCGCGGGGAAGCGGAAACACTCCAGCTTCACCAAGCAGTCGTGCCTACCTAACGGGCTGCCGGCCGGTGGGGCCAGGTCGGCCAGGCCGCCGCCCAGGGGCGGCGAGGGCAGGTCCTCGGGCTTGGGGGTCGTGGGGTCGCAGAGCACAGGCAGGGCCCCGGAGCGGAAGGTGATCTCCAGCAGGCTGTCCTGGGATCCCACTGCGTGGACACGAGGGGGCAAGGGTCAGGGGGTGCCTCCCGGCTCCTCAGGCTGGGACGGTGATCCAGGCCGCCCCCTCCACCCTGTGCCCAGAGACGGGGCTGTCTGGGTGGGCGGGCGGGGGCCCGGCTTACTGGCGTTCTGTCCCGACAGCTTCAGCTCCAGCTCCTGCACCTGCCGGACCAGCAGCGACACGTGCTGCAGCGCGTCCTTGTTCTGCAGCAGGAGCTGGTGCACGCGGGCCTGCGCCTCCAGCCGCGCCGCCGCCTCCGCCGCCAGCTGGTCCTTCAGCAGGTGCACCTGCGGGCGGGAGGTGCGGGGCAGAGGGGCCGAGAGGAGACAGAGCACGAGTGAGGACGTGGTCCCAGTGGCAGCCAGGACTGGAGGGGCCTCCGCGCTCCGTCCCAGACAAACTGGCCCCGGGCCCGCCCTGCGGCCGGTACTAGGACCCGCCGCAGCACTGGACCCGCCCCCGCCCAGCAGCCATGCCCCCCCCCCCCCGCCACCCTCGCACGGGACCGCTGGAGGACGGGGAGCCCCACCGCCCTCCTGAGCTGCGAGGCGGCCGTGGCCGGGCCTGCCGTCGCGTCTGCAGTGTCAGCCTCGTCCCAGCTGCCCACTCCTCCCATCTCCACGGACCCGGGGCCGGGCCTCCCGCCTGCTGGGCGCTCGGTCTGCTCTGGGTGCCCGGGTGTGGGGGTGAGCTCAGGGGAGGGGGGCCCCGGCTTGGAGAAGCAGGGACACGGGCAGTGGCAACGTTCACCCGCCTGCGCCTCCAGGCGCTCCCTAGGGACTCGGTGGCCTGGACAAGGCCGCCTGCGGGAAGGAGCCCCCAGACCTGCTGGTTCTGAGGAACAGGGCAGGGGCTGGGGGAAGCCCCCAGAGGAAGGGCAGGTGGGCGGGGCCTCCCTCCTGCGAGTAACGGGTCGCAACAGGAGAACGGCTGGGAGGGGTCTCCCGAGCGGACGGCGGTCTCTAGTCTCTTTGGTGGGCAGAGACGTGGACCTAAGCTCTCAGGGCACGGGAACAGGGCGGAGTCCCGCACACGGCCACCCACGGCTGTGGGCCCCTGGCTCCCACGCCGGAGCACCCCAGCACAGGCTGCCGGAGAGCCGGCCGTAGCTGGGCCCGTGTGGCCCTCCGCACCCGCGGGCAGCCCTTCTCCCCAGGCCGCACCTCCTCATCGCCCAGCCCCGAAGCCTGGCCAGCGGCTCACGGGGGGCCAGGGCCCCGTCCAGGCAGACAGAGCGGCCGGCACCCGGGCCAGGAGGAAAGCTGCTGCTCCTGCAGGAGAGTGCGTTTCCCGGCGGACAGGCCACAGCGGGGAGGGGGCGCTGCGGCTCTGCACCTGCCGGCGACAGCGTCCCAGCGGCTCCCACGCCCCGGGGACATGGAAGCCCAGGTTGCCGCTGTCCGGGGCCAGCCGGGACAAGGCTCTGCCCCTGCCAGTCACACGCGGCTCAGGCTCCAGCCACCGTGCGGCTCTGGCCAGGCCCAGTGGGCCCTGAAGCACCGACCAGAGCGGCTGCCTCCTGCAGCGCACTCAGGGCTCTAGTCTGGGAGCCCGCCCCCGCGCCCCTCCCTGCAGACGGACACCCCCTCGCCTGCAGCACGCGGCCCGGTCAGGTCGTCCAGCCCCCATCTCACGCGCATCAGCGCCTCCTTCCCGGGGCCACCAGGTCTCCAGTGACACCGACTCCGGCACGGCCTGTGGAGCACAGCCCAGCTCCGCGTCCGGCCCCGGCTCCGCGCTGCTCCCGCCCCTCTGGCTCCCGCCCTCAGCCCGTCCTGTGCCCTGACCCCGGCCCACTCGCTCTGGCCTACTTGCCTGGACGCCAGCTCCTCCGCTGGGAGTGGGGGCAGGGCCGGGCTGACGCCGGGGAGCACAGAGGGGCACAGGGGAACGGCAGTCGGCCCCCCGCCCGGATGCAGGTGGGGGCTGGCGTGTCAGCATGCACAGGGTGGGGACCAGGCCGGGGGCGTGGGGGCAGCCATGGGGACAGGCACTGACCGCAGGGCCTAGGCTGGGTGCAGAGCGCTCTGAGCACACTTCTCTAACTGCGGCACAGGCGGCCACGGCGCTGGGGACCGCCCCTTGGCTCAGCTCAGGCGGGGGACCACGGGGGACAGCGGGGGAGGGGTGCCGGCAGACAGCGACGCTGAGCAGCACTGACGCCCCCTCTGGAGCCCCAGGGCCCGGCGGCCAGGAAGCCGGGCAGCCGGCCCCGCTGCAGCTGGCCACGGGGCCCAGCCCACGGTCATGCGGACGCCCAGGCCCTCGGTCCCAGCCCTGGCTGTCCCGTGCGTTAAAAAGCAGGAGCCGGGCAGCCAGACAAGCCCCATGCTGGGCGGGGAAGGCGGGCAGAGGGGCTTGGTGTCCACAGCACACGCACGCAGGCTGAGCTGACACGTGGGCAGGGGGCCACCGCTTCTGCCCAAGCTCCGTTTTGGGTGGGGCAGCTGCTCAGAACCAGCTCAGAACCAGTTTGTGTGTGTGGGCCGGGGGGGCGGGGGGGAGAGGCAAGGGTCAGAGACCGAGTCAGGCCACTGGGGGGGTCTCGGGCCAGGGACAGAGGCAGAGGCAGACAGGCTTGAGGGTGAGGGAGCGTGAGTGGCACAGGAGACCCCGGGAGAGTGCGTCTGCGAGAAACCGTCCTTCCCCGGCTGAGCGGGTACGATAGGGAGGGGAGCGGGGAGGAGAGACCGGCAGGGCGAGGACGAGCTGCCTCGTGCGGACCCCCGGCACGCCGGACCCCCTCCGCTTCAAATGCTTAGGGAACACCCGGAGGCCCAGCCCACCCTCGGGGTAGGTGATGGTTTCCGCTGGGAGGCAGGGACCCTGACCAGGCCCTGGGGGGTGGGAGGGGCGCCAGGAGGAAGAAAGGGGTGTGGGGACACCTGCAGCGCAAGGTGGGTCAGGGCCCAGCCGCCCAGGGGACGGGGGCACCCAGTGATGGGGACAAAGGAGACCTCGGCCGCCGTCCCTGCAGCCAAGACCCCGAGCAGACGGCAGGGAGGGCGCGGCACGTGCCAGGGAGGTGCCGGCCGACCCCCAGGCCCTGCCTGGCCTGGGTGAAGACCTCACGTCCGCACCCCACCCAGGCCCCCTCGTAGTGCGGGCACGGGTGCTTGCCTGGGGGCTTCCGGTCACGTCCCCGCCTGATCGAGCCGGCCTGGACAGTGCCAGCTCCCGTGAACGGATCTGCGTCCCTCGACAGAGGGACAAGAGGCAGGGGGACCTGGCCGCCCTCCTCTGCGAACCAGTGGCCCCCGAACCAGCCTCTGGGGGCTGCACGACCCCACTGCTCAGCCTCAGCCAGGTCTTTCCGTCGTGGCTCCGACACTGTGGCTGAGCCCCTGGGGGGTCGAGTGCCCCCGCCAGGGACTCCCGGGGCAGGCGGGTGTCCAACGCCCCCTGGGACGCCTGCAGCGCGAACGCAGGCGTGGGGACCCGTGTGGGCGAGCGGCCGGACGCACGGGAGGGCTCTGCGAGGGCGCTGGGCACACACTCACGGAGCCCCTGGAAGGCGGGTCTCGCGGGCCAGCTGCCGCCACCAGCAGGGAGCCAGGCAGGAGAGGGGAGCGGCTGCCCCGCCCCCAGGTCAGTGCGGGTCACGCCCAGCGGCACCCAGCCAAGCCAGCCAAGCCCAATGCAGCGGGACACACGGACCCTCCGCCCTGCGCCCGGCCCCCTCCCCAGGCCCCAGCCCCCACAAGCACGGGCCTCAGCGTGCGCGGTCCTGCGCTCCAACTTTAAACCTGCCCTGCGCCCTGGCGGGGGGCGCGTCAAGCCCCTGAGCGCGGAGCCTGGCGGTGGGGAGGAGGCTGAGCAGGACCTGGGCCACGGCCACTTGGGTCTGCTGCTGCTGGTGCTGCAGGAGCTGCTGCAGGAGCTGCAGCTGGTGGCGCGAGGACAGCGGCGTCCGGGGGTCCGGGTCCGGTGCGGAGGCCGGGGGCAGCAGCATCCTGGGCGAGGCTGCGGGCCCGGGCTCCAGGGGCGGCACCTGGGGGGGCAGAGAGGCCCAGCATGACCGGGGCGCAGGCGCTGCGGGGCCCTCGCCCTCTCTGACTCAAGGTGGCACCTGCGGGGGGTCCGCGCGGACGACAGGCTGCGACCGAGGGCTGCAGGCCCTGCCCATGGGGAAGGGCCGGCTCAGTGCCGCCCCCTCCACTGCCTGTGCCACGTGGCTGGGTTCCATGTGCTCCGGGTGCGCAGGGACCTAGTTCTCCGCCGCTCGGCCCCCACCGCGGCGGTGCAGAGGGTGCGAACAGACCAAGGCAGCGCTGCCCCGCAGCCCCATGGCCCTCCTGCATCCTCAGGGCCCGTGCTGCGCTGCGTCCCCAGGTCGGCCCAGGGGGAGCAGGCCGTGGTGCCAGGCTGCTGCTGCCACCGCCCGCTCACAGTGACAGCCACGGGGCGGGGAGGGGAGGTCAGGGCCTGGATAGAGCCTGCCATTCCTGGAAAGCACCTCAGCCCCTCCTCCCCGCCCCCTCCCAGAAGGCAGGGACGGCCCCCCCACAAGATGCTGCCCGGCGTGGGCTGCGGGGGGGCCCTGATCCTGACTTCTGCTGCTGGTGCTTCACACGTGAAGGAGCAAGCCAAGCCCCCACCCGCACCCCGGAACGCTGGCAGGGGAGAAAGGGTGAACGCGACCAGCCCCCAGAGGAGACGGGCTTCTCCCTCTGTGGACCGCCCCTGAGCTGAGGTGCCCGTGGCTCGCCGACGGGCTGGGACCCCGGGGGTCGGGGGACATTTGTCACGATTCGTCTCCGGGCCGTCTGCTCCGTCCTCGGGGGGCAGCGGGTCTCCAGGCCCCCCTCTCGTTCCCAGGCCGCTGTCGGGCGCCCCTGGGGCCTGGTCGCCCGCGCGAGCCCGGAGGCCTGAGGGGGCCTCGTGGTGCCCAGAGTCCGGCCAGCCCCGCCTACCTTGGTGTCTGCGTGGGAGCCGCCTTCCTTCCCCACGGCGTCCAGGTCCGTCACGCCTCGGCTGAAGTCCAGGCCGTCAGCCCCCGGCAGCGGCACCTCCACGGCGTCGATGTCGGTCTCCTCTGTGGCGGCGGTGGCGGCCCTCTCGGCCCCCGGGAGCTGGCAGCCTGCGGGGACAGCAGGAGGAGGGCGGGGGATGGGCCCCAGGAACCACGTCCTTCCTGACAGGCCGGTGTCACCGGGCCACGCCAGGGACTGCCGCCAGCTCCCTAGCACCTTCCCTGCGCCTCCAGCAAGCCCCCTGACTCTCCCACCTGGGGGTGCGGAGCCCGTCTCTGAGGCCGGGGCCAGGGCGCTGCAGCCTGGGGCCTGGGTGGGACGTGCACGGGGACAGGGTGTGGGGGCCCCGGGCAGGGGTGATGGTCGTCTCGGCCTCCCCCCAGCTCGGGAGCGCAGTTGGTCCGGGGTCCTGTGGTCTCCCCAGCCTCGCCCGGTGGCTGGGTGGGGGCTGCGTGACTGCAGAAGTGGACGAGGAGTCGGGAGGCCCCGCCCCAAAGGCACAGGGAGACAGGTGGTGCCGCCCGGGTCCGCGCCTCCACCCACTGGGCACTCCGAGAGCAGCCCATGGGGCCGGGACTCCGCGGCCCAAGAGCAACAAGCAGGGTCGGTGGCCCCGCTGCCACTGGCCTGATGGAGGAGCAGACCCACACCAGTGGCAGCGGGGGCCAGCCGCCGCCCGTGAGCCCAGAGAGGAACGCGTGGCCCAGGCGCCCGGGGAGAGCGGCTCGGGCAGGTGAGGGGTCTAGGGGGCGGGAGGCGCAGAGAACCCCCCGTGACAGCCCTGTCGGGGCAGCCACCCAGCACGGCAGGGGCAGCGCCTCGGAGGGCTGAAAGCAGGTGACACCAGAGATGTCCTCCTTCACTGTCACGGACGACAGGTGACCAGCTCAGGCCAAAGGGCTCCCAACGGCCCCTCGGGCCTCAGAACGGCAACGGCGCTGAGGGAGAGCTGACCGGGTCCCTGAGCTGGCGTGAGGGCTCACCCGTGGTGACCCCCTTCGTCCTCCTGCGCCGCCTAAGAGGCAGGCACAACCACGCCCCCGAGTGACCGGCCGGGGCCGGAGGCACAGGGCTGCTGAGGCTCAAACCAGAGCACCGCCTGCCCTGTCCCCCGAGTCCCCTGCTCCCTGCCCACTCGTCTGCACTCTCTAGACCGACTGAGTGGACGCTCGCTCGTTTGCACCCCCACCCCACTCTGCGCGGAGGCACAGGTGTGTGGAGGAAGCACAGGTGTGGGGGATGCACAGGTGTGGGAGCGGAGGTACAGGTGTGGGAGCAGAGGTACAGGTGTGGGAGCAGAGGCACAGGTGTGGGAGGAGGCACAGGTGTGGGAGGAGGCAGGTGTGGGAGCAGAGGTACAGGTGTGGGAGGAGGCACAGGTGTGGGGGAGGCACAGGTGTGGGAGCAGAGGCACAGGTGGGTGGGGGAGGCATAGGTGTGGGAACAGAGGAACAGGTGTGGGAGTGGCGACACAGGTGTGGGGGGCACGGGGGACAGGAGATCAGTGATGTGCTTCCTCTGCAGAGGGAGCAGGGCTCCCGGGTCCCCCAAACGTAACAGTAACAGTGCCCCTGTCTCGACGACGAGAGCTGGTTTTCAGCAGTGCCGTGCTCGCCCGCGGTGGGCTGGCTCCTGTCTCCAGGGGGACAGGCCTCTCCCAGGACACGCTCTCGGGGTCAAGGAGACGCACGGGGCAAAGTGGTCCCACTGGGCTGAGCCCAGGACGGCCAGGGCAGCTGCCACCCAGACAGACACAAGGCAGCCACCCCCGGGGGAGGGGGGGCACAGGCACAGAGGACGACGTCCCGAGAGCACAGCCGAAACCCACGGGGACGGCTGACAGGCCCCCCAGACAGCAGGGCCTCGCTCTGCCCAGCTCCCAGAGGGAACCTGCTCCCTCTGCACACGAGGGGCCGGCCCTGCGGGAAAACGGACCCCACTCGCGGAGCGCGGCCCACGGGGGACGAGAGTCTCGTGACACGAGACAGACCTGCTGGCGGCAGATGGCCCTGGAGCTTCAGGAGCCCAGGACGGAGGGAGCCCCAGCGGGGCCCACAGACACAGCACTGCCGGGAAAGCACTCGTGGGGAGGGCAGAGGTGCCCTGGAATCTGTGGACAGCGAGCGAGCAGGTGGCCACGAGGGAGGGGCCGAGAGGCAGCAAGCAGCCTTCCTCGTGCGAACACCCCACCAGGTTGGCCACGTGCCCAGCGCTGGCCCTCAGCCGGGTGGCTGTGGCTCTGCCCTGGGATCGGAGGGCAGCTGGCCGGCCACTGGGCGTGGACCTGCCACAGAGCCACAGGCCTCCCGAGCCCGCGAAGACAGTTGTGTGCTGCACGCTTGGGACGGGACCGCCTGCCGACGGGTTTTCAGATGAGTGATGTGGAAACCAGCAGACTCCGAGGAAAGATTCCCCCCATGACGTGGGTGGGCCTAGCCCAATCAGGCGAAGGCCGTCGCAGACCAACGACTGACCCTCCTGAACGAGGAGGCAATTCTGGCGGCAGACGGCCTTGGGGCTCACCTGCAGCCCCACCCTGACCCTCGGGGCTGCAGCCTGCACTCCCCACGCCTCCGCCATCACCAGCGCCTGCCCCCACAACGCGTGTGCGTGCGTGTCTCCCTGGCCCACGCGGCTCCCGTCAGTCAGCCCCCAGGCCACACCCACACCTGCATGAGGGTGATGGCCCTGTGGGCGCCAATGTGACACACGGCAATGGGGAGGGCAGGCACAGCCTCCGCTGGCCGGGACCGCGGCCCGGCCTCCTGGGAGAGCCACGCCCAGCACCCGAGTGGGGCCTGGGGGGTTTCTCAACACAGACCCCGGTGCTTCCACCAGGGGCAGATCAAGTGCCCTCTCCCCCGGGGGAGGGGACACCGACGATGCCACGCGGCAGAGGTCCCCTGTGTCCCTGGGACCTGAGAGAACCGTCACCAACGTGGGGTAGTTGTGTCTGATCGCTGCAGTTCAGCTTCTGGGACTCGTCAGATAAAAGGAAAACCAAGGAGACCAGGGTAACGCCCACACCGAGGGGGCACGGGACGACGGGTCCAGAAACAGGATCGGCCGCGCTGGCGGTGGCCGCCCACGCACGTCCCCTCTGCTCCACGCGGCGGCTTCGGGCCCGGTCCTCCTGGGGGCGGACTGGCAGCGGCGGCCGTGCCCTCGGGTGTGCCCGACGGCGCTCTCACGCCGGCAACCGTCCGCCGCGAGGGGCACACGCCCCTGCAGGCACGCGCGGGTCCCGAGAGGGGCAGGGAACGCAGACGCTGCTCCGGGCCCGGGCCGGGGGCCGCCTACCTGGGTCGCCCGAGCCGCGGCTGCTCCGCTCGCCCGGCCCGTCCTCCTGGCCGTCCGCGCTCTGCTGCGTGTGCTGCAGGCTCAGCTTGTGGCACACCTCGAAGGCCTGGCCCACCGTCCGCACGATGCGCATTGCCTGGCTCTGGAGGAGAGGGGACATGGGTGAAGGGCGAGGGGACCTCGGCGAGGACGGAGGGGCAGGGGCGGAGCAGGGTGTGTGGGGGGACAGCGGCCGGGGCGGCCGCGGGCGAGTCGGGGCACCCACGGTGCCCCGAGTGCACCCACTCACAGAGTGCAGACACTGCCCTTCCCCCGACACTGCAGACGCGGCCGCCACCGCCGGGGAAGAGTCGGTCCACGGAAGGGACGGAGCGGAAGCCCCGACTCCGACTCGGCCCGACCGCTCCCCCAGTGTGGCCGAGGCCGTCAGCCCCCAGCTGCAGAGGCCTCCGCCGGCTGCCACCCACCACGAGCTCAGTGGGCTCACCACACCAGGGACTCCTCAGCCGCTGTCCCCTTTCTGCCGGGCATGGCAGGTGCCTGGGAGCCCCGCCCACCAAGGGCCGCAGGGACCGCCAAGACCTGTGGGCTCGACAGCAGAGGCCGCCGCCGGAGCCCAGGGCACGCCTTCACCCGGGGCCCGCCACGCCACCGCCTTCCTGCCTTGTTTTGCGGTTGAATCTCCTCCCTGGACAGCCCTGGAACAGAGCCTGACCCCGCACTCTGATGCTCTGAGGTGGGGGGAGGGGAGGGAGGCCAGGGCGCCGGTCCGCAGAGCCCGAGGCCCGCGCAGGCCCCGAGGAGCTGTCGCAGGCAGGTGCTGGGCTTGGTCCCCACCGCGGCCCCTGGGCCGTCACTGGATGGTCAGTTTGCTCCCACGGCCCCTCAGAGCCCGCGGTGCGCTCAGGCTGGGAGCCGGGGGCCCTTCTCCCCGACATCCCACCACCCTGGACAGTCTGGTCACGGGGCAGCTGGGACCCCGCGGGCAGGGGGAGGCCCTCAAAGAAGCTGGCGTCCCCCCACCAAGAGAGGATGAAGCCACCATGCACCCGCAGTATCCAGTGCTGTGAGGACCCCAAAACACCCACGGCTCCTTGTGGTCGGGTCAGGCCGGCTGCAGTCGCTGGGAAGCCCTCAGAGGCGGAGGACACGCCGACCTGGAGGAGCCCCCAGCTGCACACGGAGACGCCGGAACACGGGGGGTGCCGGTGACGGGCGTCTCCGTGGAAACAGAACGACGTGCCACTTCCCCTCGAGGCGAACAGACGTGTTTCTTCACACCGCCCGCCCACGCACAGCGCCAGAGCTGCCAGGCCGCTGGGGGGTGGGGGGGTGGGACGGGGCAGCAGCTCTCCTCCCTGGGGCCCAACCCGATGGGCCACCATGGCCAGCACCGCCCCCGGGGGCCGGGGGGCGTCCGCTCAGAGCAGACAAGCCTGCAGGGGCCCCCCGGCCTGCCTGCCCCAGCGAAGTCACAGTTTGTCGTGGATGCAGGTCCTGTCCTCCCCCTAAGTGGCCGTGTCGCCGGCTAGCCCTGCACACCGGGGGAACCGGAGTCCTGTGTACATGCGGACAGGTCACTGCTAGCCTCATTCCGCAGCTGACTCAGGAGGCACCCACGGGCGCTGTCCTGAGCGCCCACCCTGGGCTCCCAAGCTCGTGGACTGGACGAGGGGGGTCTGCGGGCAGGCCAGGGAAGGAGGCGGGGACACTGGACACGCAGGAGCCCGTGCACACAGGGCTGACGGGGGAGGGGAGGGGGACGGAGCGGGGTGCCCGCCTCACAGCCGGCTCTGGACTCGGGGGGTCCACGCCCCGCTCGGTCCTGCTCCCGGCAGCCCGGGGTCTGCACACACACGGCCGCCCGGATCCGCAGGGGGTGGCGGAGGGACAGAGAGCCCGGAGCCGGAGGCCGGGAGGAGCTGAGGCTGAGTGGCCGGGGAAAGCGACGTGGCAGGACACAGGGCCCGTGCAGGAGCTGCCTCCCGGCACTGCCCCTGCCCCACGCCGGGTCCCCCGCGCAGCCCCTCCCCGGGGCGGCCTCAGGGCGCAAGGGCCCTGGCGCAGGTGTTGGCCCCGGTCAGCCCCTCCAGAACGTGGGCCGGCGGCGGTCTGTCCACCTGTCTGTGCGTGCTGAGCACGAAGCACCAAGGACACCAGAGGGACACGGGGCGACGGCCCAGGGCGCGAAGGGTCCCCGTGCGCCCCACCTGCAGGCCGCGCCCGTCACCAGGGAGAGACTGGGGCGGAGGGGGGCCGTGGGGCCGTCTGGGGACGAGGGGACGAGAACGGGCGACCGTGACCGCCCTTACCTTCTTCTTGGACTTGAAGACGTTGCACCGGAAGACGTTGCTGGCCCCGTCCCGGGCGATGTAGCTGAAGATCTTCAGGTCCTGCGAGTCGTGGGAGACGTAGAAGATCCTGCGGTGGGGGGGGGGGCACGCAGCAGAGACGCTGTGAGTGGGCACGGCCGCGGGCACCAGCGTCCAGGAGCCCGAGGACGCCGACCCTGGCCAGGGGGCCTCTATGTCCCGCTGGGGGGCCACTCTGTCCCGGGGGAGAACGCCAGCCCCCGTCGGAGCACAGAGGCCCGGAGACGAGACGGGGTCCTGCCAGTGGCGCTCAGTCTCTCCGACGGGGGGCCGGGGCCTGCCGCCCCCCCACCGCAGGACCCTGCGTCCCGCTCACAAGGCGCCAGTTTCTCCTCCGGGAGCCGCCGTCTCCAGGACAACCGCTCTGGCCACAGCTGAGGGCTCCAGGCCTAGCCCCTCCTTCCCAGCACGCCCCTGACCTCTGCCCCCAGCCCCCCAGACCCATCAGGCCCCCAGCAGAGTCGCCGCCTGGCGTGTTTCCCCGGCTCCAGGGCCGCGGAGACCCCGAGACACCGGCTGCCGGCAGAGAAACGATCCCCGAGGCCCCCGGGAAAGAAGGGCCCACGGACGTCTCAGTCCGGGCGTGGTGCCCTGCTGCGGCCCTGCGGCAGGACGTGAGCCGGGCAAGCACACGTCTGTCCGAGAGCCTGGCCAGGCGCCCGCCGGCCTGTCTCAGGGGCTGGCCCGCTGCAACGCGCTCCTCCCCCCGTCCCACTACAACCTGCGTGACACCTGCAACGCAGCCACAAGCCGCCCCACGGGGCCGTGCAGGGGTCGGCCTCCTGAGGGTGACCCCCCTGCCCAGCACCGGCCAGGCGGGCAGACTCGGGCCGCACCCCTCACAACCAAGCCCCTCCCACACGGCGACCTCCCCCCATCACTGACTGTCCCCGCTGGGCCTGCAGACCCGAGGACCTGTCCTCTGCACCCGAGACCTGGACCCCGCGGTGGCCGTGTCCACGGCCCCAGGGCCAGCAGCCCCCCCACAGCGAGGAGCTCAGGCTTCCTGAGGACGAAGCCTCCCTCCTGGGGAGGCCCCGCCCCGGGGACTGCGCCCCACACCGTGCACGCCCCCCTCCCCACTTCCGAGACAGCGAACGCCCTTCTCCAGGTGGAGGAGGGTTGGGCACGGGTGGGCCCAGTGCAGCCAGCTGGTCACCAAGGGCTCGCAGCCCCTCACCACGCCCCGACCCCGAGGGCCCGTGACCTCGTGTCACGGGGGGGCCCGCAGGGGCACCTGGCTCCCGCAACACAGCGGGACGGGGTCGTGGGACTCCTCGCTCCCCCGGGCCCCCACCACCACCTTGCCCGCGTCACAGCCGCCCGGGGGCGGCCGTCTTGCTGTCGGACCTCGTGTCCCAGATGCTCTGCAGCCCACCTCCCGTGCGACCTTCCCCAGCCACCGCCCCTTCCGGCCCCTCCGCCCGCCCGTTCACCTCTAGGTGAAAGCCCGCAGAGGAAAGGCACTGCCTCCTGGGAGTTCTGCCAAGATTTAAGAGATCGATTCAATCGACCAGAAGCGTGCCGAACACCACTGTGCACGAGGCGGTGGCCGCAGGGAGACCGAAGGAATGGGCCACGCACGGGTGACAGCAGCACCAGGACCGGCAGAGTCAGGGCCACGGCGGGGGGGGGGGTGCACAGGGGGACGCCATCAGGGAAGGGGCCTGGCAGTCGTGGGGCAGAGGAGCCTGCGGAGGTGACCAAGGAGGTGGCAGCAGAGATGCTGAGCCCAGCACAGGGACGTGGTTCCCCATGGCCGAGTCCCCGGTGCCACCAGGAGCGGGAGAGGCCTGGAGGCTGTCACAGCCGCCCCCCGGGGCCGCTGGGCTCCCCTCCCCTCGCCCCACACCCCACACAACCCCTGGCCTCCCGTCCCCCTCGGCTCTGCAGCCGAGGTCCGTCTGAGTGGCAGGAAAGGAGGCCCAGGCTCCCCGCAGGCTGCGCTCTCAGAGCAGGGACGGCACCACCGCGGCGCCTGCACCGGTGGGAGGCTGGACGCTGAGCCGCCACAGGGACCACCACCCTGGCGCGGCCCCACCCTTGCTCGCTGGGGGCCGGGGCCGACGGACGTCCCCACATCCGCGCGACTCACAGCCCCCAAGGCACACGGGCTCCCCTTTCGGCGGTCAGCAGCCTGCCGCCCAGAACGCTGACGTGAAGCCCACCGCCCACGCAAACGCTGCGTCACCGCGAGAATCACACTGGGTCTCCCTCCTGCGGGAGGACAGCGGCAGCCAACGCCCCGGCCTGAGAGGCAAGCCGCTCCGGGGGCCGGCACCGGGCTCCGGCCTCAGCCTTGTGCCTCTGCGGGGCCCACGGAGCCTGCCCGGGGGGACGCTTTCTCTCGGCGGCGTCCAGGGCAAGGCCCCTGGGCTCCAGTGCCGACACGGCGTCTCGGGCGGGCAGGGCAGGCAGGGGAAGGGCACTCGGCCCCGCCCGGGCCGGGCACCGGCGCTCACCTGTAGATGGGGTCCTGCATCACCAGCATCTTGCTCTCGTCCCACGTCCACTCCTTCTTCTGCAACGGAAGGAGCTGTGCGTGAACGGGTTAGGCTTGTCCTCGGCTGCGGGGGCGGGGCAGACACCAGGAGCCATGGCCGGACCCTGCCCCCCTGCCCCCACCGCCGGAGGGGGTTCCCAAGGACGTGTGTGCGTGCCCAGTGCCCGGTCTCCTCGCCCGCGTCTGTGCCTGAGGACGGGGGCTCTGGGCACCGAGGCCGGCTCTCCGTCAGAGGCTCACAGAGGCGCGGGCGGAGGAAGACACTGTCCAGGGGCAGGAGACCAGGCCCCTGCCCCCGCCCCGCCCCCGTCCCATCCCTCCCCAGGGTGGGGTCGGCAGCGGGCGCTGCCCTTGGGGCGGCTTCTCTCTGAAGCCCTGAAGGGGATCAGCGCCCGCCAGCAGCGCCTGGCTCAGCCGCGGCCCCGCCCCAGCCAGCCGGCCTGCGGTCCCGCCCGCCCGCCCACGCGGAGGCCATTCTGTGGCAGGACCGGGCAAGGAAGGCCCGCCTCCTGGGGTGGCCGCGAGGGTGCAGGGCATCAGGCAGGGCCTGCCGTCTCGTGGGCTGGGACCCTCCGCGGCCACCACTCAGGGTGCAGCGACCCCCGGCAGTGTGCCCCCTCGGCCGCGCCCCCCCAAACAGGGAAACGGAGCGAGGTCGGGTCCTGTTCCTGCCGCTCACGGCCATGGCTGCCGTCCGGGAGGGGCCGTGGCCGCCACGAGCACGCTGGCTGCGCTGCGAGGGCCCTCGGCCGACAGCCGGTCGCCCGTCTTGCCCAGTGGGGGTCCGCCCGGGACAACGAGGCCCTTCCGGAATGTTTCCCGTGGGGTCCCCCAGGGTCACAGGCCCACAAGAGGGGCCACGTGCCACAGGCCCGCCGGGCCCTCCACACGGAAGTCCCCGGGGCGGCGCTCAGGGTGCCCTCCGCCCTCGGACCCCGCTCCGCGGAGCACGGGCGACCCCAGGCTTCCAGGGCCACCTGACAGAGGCCGAGTGGCGGCGCTCAGGCCGCAGCGCAGGAGCAGGTGGGGCCGCGGACATCGAAGCGCAGCCCCGGGGCCCAGCAGCTGCGTCCACACCCCAGCCCTGAGCCCCAGGCGTGGGAGGCCCCGTCTGGTCTGCGGGCGGTGTCGTCGTCGTTACATGGTAGTGACTGTCGTGTCGCTGTTGTTACATCGTTGTTATTGTGTCGTCACCCCACAGTTATTACTGTATCACTATTACAGCTGTAACTGCAGTCATTACTGTTGCGTGGACATTGTAACTACACGGTTGTTATTATGTAGTCCCTATGGTACTGCTACTGCACGGTCACTGTTACTTCAGGATTATTACTCATGTACAGTTATCATCGTAGGGTTGCAGCTCAGGGAGGCAGTCGCTACCGGGGACCCCACAGCCAGGAAAGGCAGAGCCAGGACTAGAACCCAGGTCTCGTCTCAGCTGAGGGACCTCCCACACGTCCCGCCGACCAGGCAGAGATCAGTCTGCCGTTCGCAGGCAGGGGCACCCATGGGTGGAGAGCGTCAGGCCACACTTGCCCGGGGCCCGGGGCGGTGTGCCACCGAGGACCAGCACGGCCGTTCCTGCACCCGCAGCTGCCTGACCCTGTGGTGGGCTCCTGGTCTGACCCGGACAGCCACCACCGAGACCTGCTGAGGGCGCCTTTCCTTGGACACCAGGGGGGCGTGTCCACTCTCCGTTCCACAGACACAAGGGCGGCGTCGGCACACCCACACCTGAAGGCTGTCCCGTGGGAGCAAGAGGCACAGAGGCCGGTGGCTGCTAACGCCCCCCCATCTGTCAGAGGCGGGGTCCCTGGACACCGCGATCAGCGGTGGGACGGGCACTGAGCAGCCCTGCAGCCAGGTGCGGGCACAGCGGACAGGCCCGAGGCGCCTGTCCGGCAGGCGTGTCCACTCCCCGCCCCCGGCGGGTGCCGGCACAAGGCTGCTCACCTTTTTCTTCTTCTTCAGGATCACTTTCACCCCGTCCACCGAGACCATGATGCTCACCTTCTTCTTCTTGATGTTCTTGGCTTTGAACTCGTACTGCGGGAGAGAAGGGGCCGAGAAGCGCAGTCAGAGCAGAGCGCCGGCCGGGCCGACGCGGCTCCTGCGGACGAGGGGCACCAGGGCGAGGCGGCAGGCGGGCGGTGGCCCGGGCACTCCAGGTCGGAACAGCGAATGCACGGCCGTCGGTCTCGCCGCTCGGCCCTCAGGCAGGACCACAGAACAGACCTGGTGTCCCCGACAACGACGCGGAAACAGAGCCTCCCGCGAAACCTCGTCAGGCGTGCGGGGCTGTCCGGGGCTGTGATGCCTGCTGCTGCGGTTTGAGAGACTGGGGCAGCGCTCCCCACGCAGTCCCCGATCAGCCCCGCCCCCTTCCCCCGCCCAACGGCTGGGTTCCCCCCCTGCTCCCTCGTCTCCTCCCACACTCCTCACCCCACCCCCCAGCAGTGGAGCCAATCAGCACACGGGCTGAAACCTCTGCTGACATGGTGCCACCCCTCCAGCCCCAGGCCCAGGGAGCAGGTGCCCGCAAACCAGGCCCTGACCCGGCTCGAGTTTCCGGAAGAATCTCTCTTGCCCAGCCACCTCCTACCAGCTTCACCGTCCCTGGGACCCTCGGTACGGCAGGACACCCTCCCGAGGCTGGCGAGAGGCGCCCTGTCAGCCCCCTGCCAGCGCCACTAAGGCTGGTTTCTCTTTCCCGAGTCTTCCCCGCCTCGGCCCTGCCTGTGACCCTCTTCTCACAGACTCAACACGCCACGGAAGTCTCTCTCCGCACAGGAAGCAGCTCTCACGGGAGCACTGTACGCACATCCCCGGGGCTAACGTGGGGTCTGTGGGAACACAGGGACCGTGGGCGCAACCATGTGGCCGGAGGGACAGAGGCAGCACGGGCGTCCTCGTCACCGCAGGTGGGGGCGCTCTGCACACTGCCAGGCCCCTGCCCCAGAGAGGCCCAGCCCGCTGCCAGGGCCCCCAAGACACGACCCTCCGACATGCCCCGGCGCCCGGGGCCGGGCGTCCCCGACCCTCTCCCAGCACAGAGAGAGCGCTCTGCGGAGAACCACTGAGGTGAAGCCAGTCTCCGAGCCGTGCCCTTCCCGGGAGTGAGCAGACCAGCAGAGCCGGAGCTCACGGGGACCAGACCCCTTTCTCCCAGGCTCACAGCTCTGAGGGCAGACGTACTTGGGAGGAAGCATCTGTGTCTGCAGGAAAGGAGCCAGCCGCCTGGGCTGTGCCAGGGCTGGAGGACAGACAGGACGCTGGCACGCTGGCGCCACCGTCTGCGGCCGAGGCCAGACCCCCACAAGGCCCGTGCCGCTCCGGGGTCTGTGCCAGCAGGTCCAGCTCAGCCCCTGGCATGCCTGCTGCGTCAGCCAGAGCCCTGGCAGCCGGGACAGAGGAAGCCTCGCAGGACCTGCCTTTCGGAAACAAAACCAGCCAAGTCCTGGAACACCGACCACCAACCAGAAAGAGGAAGGTCAAGCTCTGGGCCGCAAGCAGAGCCCCAGGCCTGCACCGGGTGCAGCTGCTACGCCGGCTGAGACACCGTGGTGGGAGGCGGCTCCAGGCCCAGCACGAGCCAGGGGCACAGGCTCAGCGGTGACACAGGGGTGCCTGCAGGGGACCAGACCTGGTCAGCGCGAGGGGACGGGCTGTGTGACGGGGCCTCGGCTCCTTGGGGGCCAACAGGTGCAAGCAGGTGGGAGCCGACGGGACCCGGGCACACGAGGGCGGCCCTTCTCCCCGAAACGCAGCCGCCGCCACCCCGGGGCGAGCCCGACACGGCCCGAGAGAACCGACCGGCTCTTCTGTAACTACAGACCCGCACCCACTCAGCACACGTCGGAACGGTGCCGTGTTTCTTAAAACGTTTACAGCTTTTTAAAGGCGCTCGACTCCGTGGGTTTACACACTGTGAACTTAACCTAAATGCAAGTGAGTTTTAACGGCTTTCTGGCAGTTCAACCGCGAAAGAGAGGGAATCTCACACGCAGTCAAGTCGCACAGGAAAACCTGAGAACCGAGACGCAACCGTGCGGACGCGGAGTGGTGCGGCCGAGTTCATGGAAACGAGCACAGAGACCCTGGCGAGGCCCCGCGGTTACACAGCCGCCTCTGCCCACCGGGACCCGAGAGACCGCCGCGGTCTGGCCGGGACGGCCCCGCGCTCGCCGGGAGGCCGCACGGCCTTCCAGGGCGCACAGCCCTCTCCCCGCCCCCGAGCCAGGGCCAGGGCGTGCGCCACAGAGCTCGCAGGCTGCAGGGAGGGCCCCCGAAACCCACCCACACCCCTGCCACCTGGGGCCGCGCCGCCCCCACTGACCTGGGCCACAGCCGCGGGGCCGCCACACGCACCGGCCCCCAGCGCGTGACCCCGAGGAGCCCTGCCGACTCTGGTGGCAGACTTGTTTGTGGGCGCGCCCCGAAAACTCACACGCGGGGAGCAGCGTAGAGGAACTCGGGTCGGAGACAGAGCGCCAGCGCGGGTCGGAACGCCGCCCGGGCCCGCGGCAGGTCAGACGGGTGCTGCGGCCAGGGGCTTCACACGGCTGACCACGGGCCTGGCCCGCGACACGCACCTGGAGCTCGGGGGTGAGCCGGGGTGGGAGACACGTGGACGACAGGTACCCACCTGGGCACAAGGCAAGGTGGGCAGGCTGCCTGGAGGGGAGCGGAGGGCCCACGGGAAGGTCACAGACCGAGGCCCCCCAGCCCCCGAGGCTGTGCCGAAATCGACTCCCTGCCATCAGCACCCCCGCCCACCAGGCCCCGTGGGAGGGACCAGCGAGGGCGTCACTGTGACCACGGAGCACGCAGAAAGCACCCGGCGTGGCCCCTGCCCCCCGGCCACAGACCAGCGAGAAGGCTGGTGCGGGACAGCTGTGGTTCGGCGTCACAAGCACCGCGTGGGTGGGGGGCGGGGAACGGGGGTGTGCCCGGGAGACCAGGAAGGGGGCCCGGAGGGCTGAGGGCCGGGCAGGCCACGGGGCAGGGGCGCAGGGTGCACAGAGGCCCCCAGAGCCCCCCACCGCCCTCGGAGCCCAGGGGCGCAGATGGCCGTGCTGCGCCTGCAGGAAGTGAGGGCGGGGGAGGTCGGCAACAAGGCTCGGAACGAGGCCAGAGCCAGGGCCCGGCCAGCTTTGGAGCCAGCAAAACAAGGCCATAAATCTGGAAGGCGACGGAGAGCTGACCTCTGCGGCCCTCAGATAAAGCGGGGACCCACCCACGGCAGGAGAACGCTCACGCGGAGAGGAGTGTCGAGCGAGGGCCTCGCCCGGGGCTGGCGGCCACTGCAGTCCCGGCCATGGGGGCGAGCTCGCGCCGGGCCCCACACCCGCAGTGGGAGGCCGCCCGCCCCCACCAGCTGTCACACGTGTGCGGGACTGGGACCCGGGCACCCGACTCCGACGGGGAAATCCCACACAGAGAAGCTCGGGCCCCCGCTGTCCCCCCACGTGTCCACTGCCCAGCTCTGGGAACGCCCCGCCCCCCACCTTCCTCTCTGACCGGAGGCTCCCTCGCGGACTCGAGGCCTGAATGTGGGGCTGTGGGGTGAGCTGCTGAGGCCTTGCTAGTCCCCTCCCCTCCCCTCCAGGGGACCCCCTTCACCCCCCACCCCCAGGACCCCCGACCACCCACTGGAAGCGGCCTCACACAGAACCAGCCTCGCCCAAGGTGCCGTGGGTTGTGGAGGGCTGGCTGGCGGGGGGTGCAGGACCACAGAGCGGCACCTCCCGCCCACGGGGGGGGGGTCCCAGCAGCCGCGCCTGGCACTAGGTGACAGGTGGGAGAGGCAGCAAGGCCCGCCCCCCGGCCCAGCCAAGGGCACGAGAGACCCGAAGGCTCCAGGGGAAATGGCTCCCGTGCCACCAGCCGCTCTGTTCCTCAGAGAGGAGAGACACTGTCACCCCAGACAAAAGCCACGCACGTGTGAGTGGGTGTGTGTCGGGGGAGAGCGGGGAGCAAAGGAGCCAACGGGTAAGGTGGCAGAGCAGGCCGTGGAAGGCGGGGGCTTTGCACGCCGGGGCCAGGGAGGGGTCGGTCAGCCGGCCCCCGTCAGCGAGTTGTCCGGCCACCGGCCCCAGACTCGGGCGAATGTGACGAAGACCTCGCGGAGGGAGATGCGGCCGTCGGGAGCCGGAGTCCCCCCCGCAGCCAAGGAAACGGCTGCCACACGTCCCCCTGCGTGTCCGAGGACAGGAGGACGGTCGCCGGACACTCAGCCACGGCCCCGGTCCTGCTGGCTGCGCCGCCCACCTGCGCTGGTTCTCTCTGTGCTCATCCGCTCCGGCCGCCCTTGCCTGCCCGGCGCTCCCACGGGAGGGGGCTAGGGCCTGGCCTGTGTCCCCGTGTGTGCGCTCAGGCCGTGACCACGCCGCCACAGAGGCCCTCCTCCCCCACGGGGTCCACCTGACCTCTCCCACCCCCCATGGCCACGGGCTCCTGCCCCACCGCAGTGCGCCACAGCTGTGCAGGGTCACGCAGGGTCACAAAGGAGCAGTCGGGGCAGAGGCGGGGCAGAGGCGGGGCAGCTCGCGGCAGCTGGGAGCAGCAAGCTGAGAGACAGACCGACACCCCGAGCCCCTCTGCCGGGCCGCCCGCCGCGTCCGGCAGAGCCGGCATTGAACGGCTGAGGGACGGGAGCAGCCCTGGGGGCCCGGGAGCCGGCCTCAGCTGGACCAGGCCAGCGGGCACAGGCGGGCAGAGCGCACGCTGCCTGGCTTCCGGGGAGAGAGCCCCGGTGCCCAGTCTCCCAGAAAGGACAACAGTGACCGACCTGTAATGCAGGCGGGGCCCCTCCAAGTGCTCCTCAGGGTCACCGAGAGCCCCTCCGGCACCTTGGGCAGCTGCTAACCCCGCTCCCCTCTGGCTCCCACAGCCCCTCAGGGCACACATCAGCCCACCCAGGGCTCCGCCGGCATCCAGAAGGGCCTTCCCAGGAAGGGTGCCTCCACAGAGTCCTGGCCGCAGAGATCGGACCGGACCGCAGAGCAAGCGGCGGCAGGAAGAACCGGACTTGAGAAAGGCCTGGC